GTCCTGAGGCATGGGTGTTAAACATGTCCTATAAAGGGTTTAAAGTATGTCAAAGGAAGACAAACATTATAAATCCAATATATGCCTGCGGGAACCCTTCGCACACGCACATAAAACTGCTGAAGAAGTTAAGCTTTGCCATGTTTTCCTTCCTCTCAACCACTCACCAGTTTTTAAGTAAAATATTTAATAAAATAGTATTAACCCTCCTATGCAATCATATCATGTTGCTATTCTGCAGACTGGTGACAGGGTCTCCCCTCAATCAGCCCTCCATGGAGACCTTTAAAACCTAAAGAGCCCAGCTGTCTTTCCTTTAGCATTCAGTTTTCAAAGTGGTGCTTCACTTTGTTTCTTTTAAGTCATAAACGCAAACATAACCGACACAGTTATCACAGTAGACTCAACTCGACACCAACCTGTATATTCTGTTGGTTTGAACAGCAAAGATGAGAAATGAAATGTAAAGGTGCCAGATGTTTCACAGTGCTGTGAAACTGTGATGTAACCCTAGGGCTTCACAGAACTGCATGAAAGGACCGCAAGTCGTTTAAAGCGCTTGCTATGCAGGTTGAGATAAAACACTTGTACTAGCCTGTGGTCATGTGAATACTTGCTAGCAGATGAACATTAGAAAAAACGGCCACCCATGTGAAACTCACCACTAGATGAGTTCTGTGATCTGCTTTTGTTGTTGTAAAGAAGGGGTGTCCAATCCTGTTCTTAGAGAGCCACTGTCCTGAAGAGTTTAGCTCCAACATTAATTAAAAACACCTGAACCATCTAATAAAGGTCTAACATGCTAGAAATTTTCAGGTTGAGGCAAGTTGGAGCAAAACTCTGCTGAACAGTGGCGCTCTAGGACCGAGTTTGGACACCCCAGTTGTAAACTCTTGATTTAAGACTGAAGCAGCATAATCGCAAAGAGATTTCCAAAGACAACTGTGAAGACTTCAGATGACGCCAGCTTTGGATCAACAAAATATTATCCTTATCCTATTGTAATCATTAAGAGCTGTATATGTTCGTTGAGTCTACTTAACTGAGTACATGATGTTAACTAAGCACATGATATTATAGTACATGATGTTAACAAGCACATGTTAACTAAGCTCTATATCACTGCCATATGGACTTTAATTTGCTACAGTCATTTCTGACTGATAACAAAATACTTTGTAACATTAAAACAAGCATTTTCTGTAAAGCTGCTTTGGAACAATATAGGCCTATTGTGAAAAGGGCTATACAAATAAACTTGAATTGAATTGAATATTCACTTATTAAGATTGAATGTATATTCACAAAATTTCAACAAGGATCTCATGCTCCAAGAAACAGTGCATTTCTTCAAAGCAAAATTCATTCAGCAAAACATATGGAAAGCTATTGCGCAGTAAACAGATCTACACCCAGTCATTTCCATCAACACTTCGCTTAAACACAGCTGATCTTGGATCAGAGATACAACGGTAAATGATACACCGGGGACCCAGGAAAGACAAAACAAATACCTCTCTTTGCCCCATTGAATATGGCAGAGTCTTAGATGGAGACAGACTGTCAGATCAAGGCAGAAACTCAAATCCAGTCATTTCCTGGGCTGTCAGGGGCCATTGAAGTTTGTTCAAGTGAGTCATTCATGTACTAAACTCATATGACAGTCCCACGCACAAACAGGAGCATTACAGTCAGAACACCTAAAGTCAAGTTCCCCTGGCGCTCTCATGTGCGGGAAAGATATGCTTTACTGTATGTAGCATTGGCAACAACAAACATTTCCTAGAAGAACATTTATTTTATTATGTATCTTTTTCGAATGTATGGAGATAGGAGCAGGCTTCACTCAATGATTTGACTTAAACTTTAAGAATGCTGGCCTGATGATTAGAATATATAAACAGGAAAGAGGCCACACTATGCATAAATAGTTTTAAAACTATTTATGCATAGTGCGGCCTCTTTCCTTTTTATCTTTTTCGAATGTGACATTATTTTAATACATCAAAAATATATAATATAATATAATATAATATAATATAATATAATATAATATAATATAATATAATATAATATAATATAATATAATATAATATAATATAATATAATATAATATAATATAATATAATATAATATAATATAATATAATACAATATAATATAATATAATATAATATAATATAATATAATCTGGATGAACAACGCTGTTTTTGATGAATGTATTTAAAAAAATAACACAATATCTGAATTGATCTTTGCAAATATTTACATTGTTGCAACGAGACAACTATAGATTTAAATACTTAAATCTTAAATCATGAAAAAAATGTGTGTTCAAAAATGTGGATTTGTTTTGCTTGTATTGGAAGCTTTTTTCTGACATGGAATAAAAAAAAGACAATTTCTGACTTTATAACTCGTAATTGTGAGATATAAACCTGCAATTCCTCATGAGGAAAAAAGTCAGAATTGTGAGATATAAGCTACTTGTAATAGCTAGGGGAAAAAAGTCAGAATTGTGAGATAAAAAGTCGCAATTACCTTTTTTATTCCCTGGTGGAAACAAGCTTCCATATTAATGTGATGAGATAATGAAGATACAGGTCAAATAAAAAGCTTTGCTTTCTGTGCTAAAAGTCTGTATTTTCTACAAAGTGATCATTCTCTCTCTGGGCATCATGGATGATTTGCAGAGTTCTTCAGTGCCTCTTAAATGTTGTAGAAAACAGCACAATTGCACCTGCAATTCCACCGAGACATTTAGCTTAAAATAGGTGACAGAACTAAAGGAAATAGTTTGACAGGAAAGTGCAAGCACAGGGAGCAGAAAGACTAGTATTAGTGCAAAGCTATATGGCTTTAAACAAGGTAGTTTGTCAAACAGACAGCAAATTAGCTAAACCCAGGATTAATGACGAGCAATTCCTCTGGTACTTTAAAACTATCTCACCGTAAATTTGAGGGTGTAAAATCTGGCAAAGGAAGATGTTAATGCAAAGCGAACTGCAACAGGAAAATAATTCAAACTTTGTCTTTAATTCAAAGCAAGGCCCTATTGTGAAATTCCCCCTTTATTCACAATCCTTGGTCATTTTTCCCAATTAAAAGCTTTTGAGGTTTCAAATATAAAGTACACTCTTGAAGAAAACGTTCTATATTAAAAGATTCTGTCGGATGCTTCCCATCATGGGATCATTTTATCCATTTAGTTTTAATTAATTAATATAGCTTAAAGTCATTTTTGAATAAAATTTGTATGACTTAAAAAGATCATAAACATACTTTATTTATTTATTTTAAACCTGTTAAACAAAAGTATATGCAATTAAGACATTTCTCTTTACATAGAACCTTTGCCCCCTATAGTGTTAGAAAACCCCATTTAACCTTTTTTAAATAAAATAAAGTAAATAAACAGAAAGAAAGAAAGAAAGAAAGAAAGAAAGAAAGAAAGAAAGAAAGAAAGAAAGAAAGAAAGAAAGAAAGAAAGAAAGAAAGAAAGAAAGAAAGAAAGAAAGAAAGAAAGAAAGAAAGAAAGAAAGAAAGAAAGAAAGAAAGAAAGAAAGAAAATCCAACAATCAATCAATCAATCAATCCCGATGTAAGACACATACTCCCCTAAAACACTGCACTAATTCATTGGTTAACACTTCTTTGCAGTATCCATTTTTAACCTGTTTCCAGAGTGCCTGGGACCAGCCATCATGGTTTCAAAGCACTGAAGCACAAGAAACAGGACCAAAAGCACAAAGACGTGATTATATCAAATACATGCTAAAATCCATCACACTCATTAGCAGAACACAGTATGCAGATTTTGTCCACCATGTAACTTTGGACTCACAGGTTAATCCATGCATTTCGTGATTGGTTTCCTAGTTCCTAACAGAGAACAGCGTGTACAATTTAGACACAACTAAATGCCTCATAGCTGTTTTTAGCGGCTCTTTTAAGACAGAATGAGATGCCACGCCGGCTCTGGGACTCGGGACTGACCCCTGAACATAAGTGTCTAGAGCAGGCTCTTGTACCTCAACCCTACAGGGGCAAAAGTCAAATGGAAGCTTGACCCTAATAAGAGAAGACATCAGGGGTCCCACAGAAGTGACCTGGGTCATGGTTGAGTAATACAGTCTAACCATCTGTCTAACACCTATCACAGCATCTAATGATGTATTGCAGAGAAAGCCTTTAATATGAACATGATAAGATGTAATATTTAAAATATTAACTCAATACATCACAGCGCGCAGAAATCAGAAAGCGTTCACGTCCTATGGAACTCGTAATGACAACTTGTAAACTTGGAATTTTCTGAGAGCTCCAATGGATTGTGGATCGCATTCAAATATTTCATCCAGTTCGTTTTGCTTGAAGATCGGATTCATCACGCCAGTATGGAGACGAAGCTGGTCAAGTATGTGCAGAGGACTTGGTTCTTGAGGTCTTTGCTGAGGATCTGTGCCGATGGCTGTCGTGTCGATGATGAGGTCTTCACAGGGGTGACAGGTTCTCTGCTGACATTCAGAGCTGCATTGTAGTTGTGTCTTGGTGGAGGTCAACCATCTGATCTCAATACGGACTGGACACGGTTGACTACGGTAACCTCGGGATAAACAGAGAGACTAATATTAGCATAGACCCTTAAACCAACCCATACCACCAAACCTATCCCTAACCTTACCTGTATCCCACCAGTGTTTATCAATGCAAAATAAACAACAATGTATTAAACAATTATTTTTGATGCAATTATGACACCTAATATAAAGTGTGACCAGTAAATGTACAGTTATCATGCATAAGAACACACAAAAATACAGATAGCATACTGTTCCAAAGGAAAAGAAATGTGCATATTCTATTGTTATTCAAGCATATTATAATATTTAATTAAATTATAATGAATATTTGAATGTAATGGATGGAATCATGCAAACAGCCAGGCCTGAGAAACCCCTATACCTTCTTTATGGACACATTACACCACGTATTGGCAGAGATGACATGTAACATTATGCAACTTTCAATAGTAGCAGCCATGTGTTTTATTGATGGCAATCACACTTTTTCTAACCAACCCTTTTTACAGGGTGCAAACCTTCAGGAGGCAGTTTTCCCAGAGTCAGGTGTAATAAACCAGCCGGACTTTGCCCACAGATTCTGTCCTGTGAGTTCCCCGCGTGATGCACAGAGAACTGTCTCTAGGCATCTGTCAATCGAGTGAGCAACACACTTTTCAAAGGTAAAAATATTCACTTATTTTATCCATTTCATGTCAATATCAAAAAATTGTGTCCGGTTAAAAAACAAACTGCATTTAAAACCATGATTAGGCCTATTTAAAATATCTATTTTTTTTAAGTGTATACCAATGGATTACTAGCATTCTGTAAACGAGAGATGGTTAATTATCAGTTAGCAGATGTATTATCAGCACTGGCAATGATTAATATGATTAATGTGCCATGGGTCAGTTTATCAAAGATGTTACATTCTGTATCTTGGTTGTAATTCATGAATGCTTTGGAATACAGTCCTAAAGTTGGTCTTTTTTTAAAGAAACACTCAGATGATTATTGCAGACGTGAAAGTAGCTTCAAAAATGAAAGTGTAAGTTCAATGTAAAGCAAATGTACTAAACTAAACATTTATTATCGTATACAAAATGTACAATTTATTTTGATGGCCCACTTTGCAACTACATGTCAACTAACTCTCATTAGAGTATTAGTAGACTGTAGAAAACGATACCATTATCATCTCCGTGTAAACTACAAAAACGCGAATTTATGAAAACGATGATGTTGTGCGTATTACGTGTTCAGTCTATAGGCGCGTAGTTTCTTCACAAAGTGACATCGCCAACGACTGGCCTGGCATGCATAATACAATAATAACTTCTCCGTTTTTAGTTGTGTTTTGAATTTTAAGATATCACAATGAAATGGATTTTGAGTGTTTAAGCTTTCGAATGATACCTCATATGATGATGACTAAAATGTGTAAAAAAAAAAAAAAAGGCAATAAAAAAAGCGTGCCAAATGTCCAACTACCGGGACTGACTGTTAACAGAATAATTGCTTTTCCCATAACTGAGACCACTCGTGACTGAATGCCACAGATCTGTCCATGTCAAGACGCATGTGATGTGTGTTCATAGTGTGTAGGTTGGGACGTGGACGGAGGACAGAGTATCAGGTGAGGAAGAAAAAATGGAAGTGAAGAGCAGCTTGCGGAGGGCCCAGTCTCTCAGAAGTGTTTCCACTGATCATGTCGTGTCCTGGACAGAAACTGGACTCAGAGACAAGAGGAAGTCTGTCTCTCAGCTTATGTTACAGTGAGGAAGACATTTCACCTACTTTAAAGGAATAGTTCACCAATTCTGTCATCATTTACTCACCCTTATGATGGTCCAAACCTGTATGACTTGCCTTCTCTCTGAGACATAAAATGTGATGTTTAGCAAAAATGTCTGAGATGCTGCTTTTCATACAATGAATGAGGGAGGGGACCAAGTTCCAAAAAGAAAATGGAAAAAAAAGGTTGTCAATGAAATTTGTTCACTACTTATATTCTAAGTGTTCTAAATCCATACAACAACTTGATGGAATTTGAGTTGTTATTCACTGAAAATCATGTTTGATTGACTTCCATTGTATGGAAACAAGCAGCTAATACATTCAGCTAAAGATATCCTATTGTTTTCCACAGAAAATAAGAAATGAAATGTGTTTTGAAAAACATGAAGGTGAATAAACGATGACAGAATATCCAATTTGAGTTAACCAAATAAATGAGAGTTTATACTTCGTTAATAAACACTTACTTGTGTAATAATGACATAATTATCTATAACCCGTTGGACTTGATGTTGATGTGTAAATAAACAGAAAGTGTACAGTTCTATTTTCCAAAGTCATTTTGAATTAAATGAAATTAAATACAGGACTTTATCAGACCTTCTGAACACCATGTCTTCACCAGCTACCAAAACTCTCCTGGAAGAAAAACAAAAGTTGATTCAGAGGATATCAAGCATGAGGTAAAAACACCAAACCTCACATAGGCTACTCTATTAGATTTTTCAATATTCAACATGTGATGTCATCGTTTACCTGAAGGAATCATCCACTTTTACCTGCATTACCTGATTTTCTAATTTCTCCCACAGGTGAGCATGCAGATTGCACCAATTCCTGTAAGTGAGAATGTCAGCAGAGTTGAGACACAAGTGAAGAAGACTGATGTCAGAGAGAAGTCCAGAGTCTCTCCTCTCTCCCGCAGTAAGTCTATGGGTAGCCTCCCTCAGCACAGACCCACGGGCACCACAGCACTCAGGGCGCTCTTTGAGTCAAAGGTCACCACTCAGCCTGCGTCCAAGACGGCACTTCAGTCAGTGGGTGCTGAGAAAGCCAAGAACACTACTCTTCCAATCACTCTTCCCAATAAGAAGGATGCTGAGGACATAAAGCCCCAAGTAGAGGCAGAGGTTAATAACAGCCATGATGAACCAGAGAAATGGACCAAAGAGGTTCAAGTGATCACAACGGTAAACAGTTAGACCTTACAGAGATGTGCTGACCAAGAGTCATTTGTATTTTACTGATGTACTTTACTCTTTCAGAGAGAGAGAACAAAACAGACAATAACCCGATCTGATCGAAGAAAGACCATTTCTGGCATTTATAGTGAAAAAATAACAACTCCTGAGGGTGAGTACATATGTAACATTTTACATGGCGCTTTTCCACAGCTCACTATGTAGGCCTATGTATGCATGTGTGTGTGTGTGTGTGTGGGTGGATGGACAAATGATAGATAGACACATAGATAGATAGACAGATAGACGGATGGACAAATGATAGATAGACTGACTGACTGACTGACTGATTGATTCCTGGTTTGAGTAGGGTTAGGGTTTGTTCAAAACTCTACCTCAAACTATGAGCAATAGTAGCAATGCCTACCTCAGCAAACACCACTATTAAGGATTCTAGTTCAAGGTTACGTTTCAAATGTTGACAGAGTATCATGTGACCAAAATGTCAAGAGCAAGCTATAGAATATCTTTCAAGACAAAAAGCACTTTCTTTTGCAAATACTGTCAAATAAAAGGACTGGTGATATATAGAAAATATACTTTACTTTGCTTTTGATAAAACTTGGGCCACATGTGAGGGCTCCCCAAACTGTAACTGAGGAAACGCCTGACATCACAGCAGAAGCAACAACTGTTCACAATGACATGAGATGAAAATAACATGCTTTTTTTAGTCATTTCTGAGTGCCGGGTTGGGGCAGACTGGAAATATAGCTGTGTATCTCAACAAGTGATTGACTCAGCCTGGTGTAGCAATAGCAGAATAGCAGAATAGCTCCTAAAATAGCTGGCTGGCACTTATCCCTCCATGAGAGCCGGACAGGGTCAGCTGTTAGCAGAACAGAAGCGGTGCCACAGGCTTGCTGACACACTCGGAGAGGACACACATGGCTGATAGACCCGTCAGAGGATCATTACTGAACTAAGTAATAAAATAATTCAGAGGGATTTGATTTAAGCTCATGAGCAAAGAGAAAGAGCACTGAATGGTGAGTTTATGTTTACACATTTTTAAACCGTTATATTGCATCAAATAGTGCGTGTGCTAAGAGGATTTCCCACAACATGTGTATTATAGAAAACACACTGTTTTGTGACCAAGGACATGGGATTTCACTATTCATTTTTGTGTTAAAAGAACAGGCTGGAAAACAAGCTTAACCTTAACATTTTACTGTGCAAATAAATAATCGTATGTTAATTTTCAACTCACTAACATGCTGAAATTAGTTAAAGGTGATTTTTGTTGGACACTTTGTTTCACTTGTCTTCATCAAATATTATTTATAGACTGTTTAAAAGGAAATATGTCTTGTATTGTTAATGAATAGCTGTTGGAGAATGTGTGGTGAACTGGACAGCAAAAGATGATCATTTAATCAATAATTATGGAACCAAAAAATAATCTCATAATCATTGTGATACCTAGAATTAGATGAGTAGCAAGAGTGATTTAATACAGATGCACTCAACAGGTAAATGATTTACTACAATAAAAAATAGACTTAGCTAAAATCAGATAATGAGTTTCTCTTCCTTCATGCTTTTCAGATACTAAAATACAGCCATGGTTGATTATAATTTTATTTTACCAGCTTGAAGCAATATTTTGCCCTTGAAATGTAATATTAGTCTGTACCCTTCTTCTCATTCAACCAAGCTGTGGTTCTCGACTGGAAATCCCACTAGTATCTGTGTCACAGAGAGTCAGATGTTTTCCACCCTTCGAAACGCACTGATCATAGCAGCTGTCCACATTACTGCAATAGAGCTGACAGAGCAATAACCATCATAACATCACCGTTTTAAAATGAAGCACACTTACAAAATGGATTTAATATTCATTTTAAAAAAAGCATGAATGGAGGCATTAGTTGAACTGTTTGATGTCAGTTACATATAAAATCAATAAGTCAATGCAAGGGTCAGGATTTTCTTTAAAAATATAGAAATATTAAAATAAATGTGATACATGAATGATTTTAAAGAAGGTAATAATGTTTGGTAATAACAATTAGAATCATTATAACTTGTTATTGAGAAAACTGTTATTGTTACAGTATTTTATGTTCACTGAAAGTCTAGATAGGTCTCTGGGTATACGAATCAGTCAATAAATTACAATAATCTATCATAATTTACAGTTAAATCTAAAAGCCCTGCTAAAAGCTTGCTGAGTCACAGATAAAGTATCTCACAAAACTAACAAACAATATGCCTGACCAATCACTCACCTCCCACTGAAAGACAAACTTTTCTTTTTAAAAAAAATCTCATATCTGACAGTTCAGAATGTCTTTTTTGCCCCCCTGATGTGTGCGCCTGGTTGTAAAAGCACAGATGTTGACCTTGATTTCATTCCTTCATTTAGGAAATTAGGAGTCAAATTTTGAGTTACAATAACCATATCTGATTCCAGATTCGGATCTTTCTGGTGTTACAGAGGATAAAAGAAGGTCAGTCGCAGACTTCAGAGACAACTCGGCTCTCTACGAACTGGAGAAACCCTCTATTTCAGTCAAAGCATTGTCTGCACTATATCTGTCAAAGGTGGCAGCTGCAGAACCAGCAGGAAACGTCTTGAAACCAGTTAGTACTTGTAGCTACTTTTGGGGCCAGGGGGATGAGACAGGGTAAGGCAGCAAGAAAATGCTGCTTATACAACTGCGGTCTGTTTATCAGTGTTTAGCTACAAGTTCAAGAAGCATGCACTGTATTAAAGTACAATCAACTTGGATGTTTAAGTCATTTCACCTTAAATTACATTAAACTGACTTAAAAAATGTGTTGAATCTTGTATAACGAAAAAAACGTTTTGATTAATTCAATCAATGCAAAAACATGTCGTCATAACTTAATGATCAATAAGTTATGACAACATATTTTTTCATTACTTTTACTCATCAAAATAAGTTAAACAATTTTCAACTGTTTTTAATGAGTTATAAGATTCAACACATTTTCTAAGTCAGTTTAATGTAATTTAAGTTGAAACAACTTAAATGTCCAAGTTTATTGTACTTGTACTTTAAGGCAGCAACTTTTTTTTACAGTGCATATATTATTACTATAGTATGTTCTACTTTGGAAAAACTCTTAAATTAAGTTATTAAATTCAGTTCTTTTTTTTTTTTTTTATAAAAGCTCAACTTGAAATTGAATTTGCTGTTTCTAATCAGACACGTTAGTCATTTCCTTGATTTTTGTTTGTTCTAGGACCAGAATCCCACTTCTCCAACTGGAAAAAGGCCAAAAGCAAGTAAGGTAAGGAAATATTTTTTTAAATATGTACTTTATAAAACTCATTTGGATTCTTCATTCGATTTAAAGTACAAACTAACCCCTGATGTGAACTCTGGAATAAATTATAATATTGTAAAAAAAAATGTGTTTTATTCAAAATTAAGTACATTATATCATATTCTGCACTTTATTCTTGAAATAAAATTGTTGGCTCTTTTAGTTTGTGTCTTTCTGTAATTGCATACTCAGTAAATAACAAATTGTGGTAGTGACCCTTTTGATATAGTGTCTGAATTAAATTAACAACATTGAATTTGCAGTGTTTGATTACCTACTCATTTAGCAGGACAGAAAATATAATTATTCTGGGTGTCTTTGCCGGACTTTGTCTGTTTCTTAATCACCGGTCTCATAATCACAATACTAACATGAATGATAATGTTCTCAACTGCCTGTATTCAGACTGCTGAAATTAATAACCATTAGAAACGTTAGGCACAAAACACTCGTTTTTCTTTGGCATGCGGTTTGGCTTCCATACAGTTCAGCAGGTATGTTTAACTTCTTAACCATTCATGTTTGCTTAAAATTAATCATAACCATTTGAAATAATAGGTTAATACATTAGCTACAATAATCTAACGTGGTTGTAATTTTTTTACTCTAAGATGGCTGAAGGTGCACAAAACAGCATAGCATATGCACCCGAATCAAATCCATCTACACGTCATCCAGAAACCAGTGTTGATGAGTATGAGCGAGCCTTTACTTCACCACCCCCTACAAGAGAAGTAATGTCCATTCTGCAACAACGCAGACAGAAATGCGAGCTTAGACGACTGCTAAAACACACTTATCCTGAGTTGAAAAATGTAGACAGTTTGGTAGAGAGGGAGATGGCTGATATTCTCAACATCGACCCAGTCACAGACACTGGATACCAGAGTGAGGTCCAATCTAGGTGCTGGCTGTTTGAGAACCATGACATCAATTCAGTGGATTTCCACGACCAAAAACCACAGATGAAAAAGGAGTTTCAAGAGGGAGAAATCAAGAGAACCGTTTGTATGTTCGAACAGCCTACAGCTAACTTCCTCAACGAAGAGAACAAACCCCAACTCAATGAATCAGAGGAAGGGACATCAGAGCAGAGCATCAGAGTGGATGTGAAAGCCACACGCAGAATGTTCGAAGCTCAATCAATGGATATTCTGAGAGACAGTCAAAGCCCCTGTCCAAGGAAAAACATTGTTTCTGAGGAGGAAGGTGGCTCGGTCTGGAAACCAAAGAACAGTTCTGAAACTGATGGAAAACAAACATCAAACATTGACCATAACAGTGAAACCACTGATTTCATAGGCACAAATGAGGTGTTTGTAGGTATATCTAGAGCAAAACAGGTCTTTGAAACAATATTACATGAAAAGGAGAACATCTCACCCACAAATGATAGCTGTAGCCAAGAGGAAGAACTGCTGAAGGCAAATGTAAAAAATAGAGCTCAGATGTTTGAATCAACTCCACTTGATAAGATCAATCAGCAAACCAAGGAAGAATCAGAAACCATCCTTGAGAACATGCAGGTAACTCTAGTTTCTTTATGCAACTTCAGTATCATGCATTCTGATGGAACTATCCTTGAAGCTAATGAAACTGGCCATATCAAGAAAGCAAGATATCACTTCATACAAGAAGATATAAAACCAGAAATTGATGATGAGGAGATAGTGACTGGAAACATAAAGAGCATCATGCTTCAGATGCTACCAGGAACAAGCCTGAACCCAACTGTGACCTTCCTAAAAGAGGACAGTCAGGGGAATGTGGAGATTCAGAAAGTAGATGTTCCCACTCACCAACTTCCGTTCACTCAAGATAAAGAGTGCAGGACTGCCAATGTGGTGCAGATTACTGAGGATCTACTCAGTAAAGAGAAGTCCACGAGGAAAGGAGTCTTAATACAAGATGGTACCACAGGAATGAGAGAGATAACAGTTTATGTACTTTTTATCCACAGTGAAGACAGTACAGGGGTAAAGGAGTTGGGTAAAATTGAGTGTAGATCCATTCCCTCAAGTCTAAAGATTGATCCAGAGTCTGAAAAGGGTGCTCTCAAGACATATATTAGTTCATCAGAAAGTTCTTCAGCAGTAGATACAAACAAAACTAGTAATGTGCAGCTATGCCAGAGCTGCATTGAGAAAGGAGACCTTGATCATCTAAAAAGGCTGCAGGAAACATCATCAGATGTAGATATAGGTGAGTCAGAAAAAACAAGTGAGATTATACCAGGTAATGTTACCCATTTCAAAGCCCTTTTTACTACCAATATAGATAATTTAAGCTTCAAAACACAATCAGAAGAAAACAAGTCAAAAGTGTCACCTACAGAAAGTGTTATAAATAATGAAAATAATACAGAAAAATCAAACGAGGCTGAAATTTGCACTAACACTGGGGGCACTCCAAGAATTCTCCAAGATCAAGATATCATGGATGATGGAGCTGTTCTTCAAGCAGAACTTGTTGATGTAGTGGAAGATGATGAGTTAGTGAATCTACAAACAGCAATTATGAATCTTCATCAGGCCACAATGGAGGCAAAAGCTCTTCAGCAGAGTGTACAAGCACTTGCTTCCCAGACCAACCAAACCCAACAAATCTGCGACCTTGGGTCAGTAAACCATGAGTTTACACATGTGAAAATTAATAATAATGTAAGTGTGAAAGAAGAGCTCTCACAGTTCTACGAAACTCAAAAGGAAGAAGAAAGTGTGGAGGATGCTATGAGGGGTAGCATACAGGCAGCTCTTGATTCCTTGGGAAAGTCCAACTTTAATGTCTCAAAGGGGGATTATAGAGCTGCAATGATTTATAGAAACTCTGCTAAAGGATTTACAGGACACAAAAAGACAGATGTAGAGCAGTCAAGTAAAAGGACTAAAGAAAATATGCTATCACCATATTCTCCTGCACCACTAGCTGAACAAGAGGCTTTAAAATCACTTGGTGAGAAAACTGACACAACCCAGTTAGAAAACAAACAAGTGACTTGTTCTCCCCTTCATGTCTCCGTAGACACACCTGTTAAAAATCGGAAAACTCCTATTGGACCCAAGCCAGCTATCCCACCTAAACCAGATCATTTAAAAATAAAGCCAAACCCTCTTGGTACTGAAACTGATGCATACCGTCTCAACAAATGCCAAGTCCCTACTACTTCTTTAAAATCACCAACTGAGCAGATTAAAGAACCTTCAACTCCCAAACTAAGCCCAGACCCAGCGGCTCATGAAGATGTACTCTGCATAAGTGTACAGCATACTGATGCCAATGAACCTGAACCTAGTGATACGTCAATGACCAACACTGAGAGTCCTGAAAACAAAAAGCTAAATGACATACAGGTTGTTGAAGAACCTCCAAAGAGCTCCCCAGAAAGCATTGTCAGTGAATCTTCCACAGGATTTCATGGCACTCTTCAAAACTTTGGGGTGAAGCAGAGTGGTTCAGTACCTCCTGTGAAACCTAAAAGAATCAAAATGGCTGAAAAAAATGTGAAGAACACTACAGACAACACCAATAACAACTCCACCATTTTGGAAACTGAAACGGCACTGGAAATCAGTCCTTCTCCTCACAACAATGACTCCTCGGACAAGACCTGTAAGGTAGATAGTAACAACCATGAAGAAAAACAAAATAAAAGTGATGATCAACAAGTCAGTGGAGTGGTCAGACGGAAAAAGAAAAGGAGAGGAGAGACTGAGGATGAGCGAAGGCAGAGACTCTCAGTGCACATGGATGAAATCATGAAAGGAAATGTGCCGGCTGTCATGGAGATCTTCGACAAGCTGAAAAAACAAGAGGAACTGAAAAACATACTCTCCAAAGTAGAGGAAATCGAAGACGACACCAACGAAGTAGACGTGAGCTCGCTTAGAAACATTTTCGAGAGCGTACCGGATTGGGTTGTGCCTCGGGCGAAAAAGATCAAACCGAAAATAGTCAAGTCGGAACATTTAGGAGCAACAAGTGAACCTGAGGTGATGTCATCCATGGAGGTTGCTTTTGGGGACCTCGAGAAAGCAGGTGCTGACATCATTCGTTTAAAAGACCAAACGCTTGCGAGACTCATGGATATAGAGGAGGCCATTAAAAAGGCTCTTTACTCAGTCTCGACTCTGAAATCTGACTCTGACATTGTAGGACTCTCTGGCCTCTTCAGGGAGTCAATGGTGGCTGTACAAGGCTCCCCTCCCCCAGGTAATATCAGGAAAATCAGTATTGGGTCGAGCAAATCTCCAAAAGCACAAAACAAAACGGGAAGGAGTGTTTCTGGACAGTCAACGGCACAGAAAAAGCCAGAGCTTTTTATTCCCACAACCAAACAGAGATCAACCTCACCAGCGTCTCCTTCGTTTATTTCCATTCAGTCTGCAGCGAGGAAGCCTACGGAGTTGCCATCGCCTCAGATCAGTCTCCTGAAAGCAGAACCGAAAGAAGAGGCCAAGCCCCAGTGCTGCTGTAGTGTGCCTTCAGACCGCAGGCAATGTTCTGTCACAAAGGGGGATTCCCCCAGCCCCCCGAATCCACAACGGCAGGTCAGTGTGCTGGAAGTGCAAACGATGCCTGAGGTAGAGAAGGTAATCGGAACAAAAACCATCAAAGAGAACTACGAGAGGACGGACTGCTTCGGCAACAAGTTCTACTCCTCGAAAACCTCCACGGTTGTGACAACCCAACCGGAAACAAGGACAACTTCTAGGAAGCTTATTACGAGCAGCAGTCCAGCCACATCTGAAATGGTCACATACCCAAGAATCAACACACCTTTTATTAGAGAGGAGGACCATCCCCCACTGTAAATGTGGCAAATTGATTTCAGTTTTGGTTGTCTTGTCACATAAATGAAAGATCTAATAATGTAACAGCCAATGCATTTAAATGTAACACATTTTTGTACTGTTATGCTTGGTTACTGTATCTTTCGTGGTTATGTTAGTATTGACCATTGTTAGTATTTCAGTTTCAGTTTTTTTTGTGAATTAATATTTTTTTTAACTAATTATTCCTTAGTATGTTGCAGTCATGCAGAAAACATGTTCTGATATTTCTGTGAATACCATATCATTTGAATTTCTGCCATATTTGTCAATAAAAGTAATAGAAACGTGTCATTCTAAATTTCAGTAAATAGGTGTTCTCATATGTTTAATAGTTAAAACAGAAACACAGTCTCACTCTTACAACAAGTCATGACTATTTTAATTTGTTGCAAATTTGTTTGCACACTTTCGTAAGATTTTTGTCCCACTGAGGGGTAGGTTTAGGGATGGACCTTTATTAATTTTTTAATATGATAATATTTTTTAAATTGAACATTTTCATATGAATCACATCAGACGAAATGACACTTGAAAAATTGCTAAATTTTCTTATGAGATTTGGTTGACTGAAACAGTGATCTACAGAAATATTCAATCAACAATCTGGTAACATTATTTAGTCTTGAACAAACATTTTAAAATACCTAGCAGATCATTATGTCACACACATCTAACGGGCAAAATGCTCAATAAGGGGGCTCAACCACAAACCAAAACAAAAAATTAAAAAGGAAGGAAAAGTTGGCCGACTACAAATCCAAAAATAGAAAAATATTTATTTCAAGTTCTCAACACAGGTAGGTGAGACTTTACGTTTCTTCAACTCAGCCTGAGAACATGAAATAAATATTTTTCTATTTTTGATGTGGATGGTGTCAACTTTTCCTTCCTTCCTTTTTTTCTTCTTTTTTTTTAATCTTTAAGAAAAAAAATCTCATTCAGCCAATGTGAAGACAAAACACAGCTTGTGTTTTACTGAAAGAGTACAAACACCATAATTTACAGCAGTGTTTTCCAAAAGCCCGCATAAAAAACACAACCTATAGCTGTTACATGTGTGTCCTGAGTTTCCCCCCGTTCATTGTGTATTTGGTTTAGTCCTGTGTTCGTTTTCCCGCTCCTCGTTTGTGTTCAGTTCCTTCACCTGTGTCTAGTTAATTTGCCCCAGCTGTGCCTTGTTTCCCCTATCTGTTCTCTGTGTATGTAAGCCCTGTGTTCTCCTTCACTCCTTGTCGGTTCTCGTTTGTGTAGGCCTATGGTGTGTTACTGTCCCCCCGTGATCCTTGTTTTGTTATATTGAGTAAAGTATATTTGAATTAGACCTGTTGACTGCTGCTTCTCCTTCAACCTGCACCACACCCGTAACGCTTAAGTGAATTAGAAGCCAACTTCTGACCCCAAGTCAGTGGTGTGTTAACCCTTTTGTGTGACTGTAGTTTCAGCCAGCAGCTCAGGAAACATGCTCAGCCTGTCTGAAACCAGTTTACCCAATGGAAAGAATGGCAGCTGATAAATTCATTTTTCACAAAACCTGTTTCTGCTGCAAGCACTGCAAAAAGAAACTGAGGTAAGAATATATTTCCGATAATGAACATCGTTGAAATGTAAACATTTAAAACACATAACATCTATAATCCTACATGGGTGAAATCCCTTTGTTACCATAATGCAACTAGACCATAAATCACAGCAAATCATTTATTAGGCAGCGCTGAAGTTCTGCACCAGTCTTTAGACTTTGCCTCTAAAGCCGTTAACCTACTTTGCTGACACTGCAGCTGTAGCTTAAAACGGTTAATCTACAAATATGCAGCCAATTAATGTGTTTTTCATAGCCTACAGATCATAAGCAAGGAATATACTAAAATGTGTTTTGCTTGGTTTTAGCCATCAAAGCTATGCGCCTCTCTACGGGGAATTCTACTGTGTTTTCCACTATCAGCAGCTTTTCAGAAGGAAGGGCAACTATGACGAGGGCTTCGGCCGTCAACAGCATAAAGACCGTTGGCTACAGAGGAATGGCACTGACGTCATTTAAAACCACTGAACAAGTATATGGGCCGTAACCAGCAGATGGTCTTATGTAGGCAAATACGATGTTCTGGTCTTTGGCGATTGTGCATCAACACATTTAAATCAAATAAGGATTTAATATTAACATAACATGATTTCACAAAGCAGTTTATGTCTATAAATCAGTATCACTCTATTCTAAAATGTTTATGTTGTTATGTTTGAGACCCTGATGTTGGTGTGTTTTATGACATCTAAAGATCATTAAAACTAATATTTGACATACTGACTGATGTATCTTTATAATTTTAAAACAAATCTGTAAAAAACATGGATGTCTGGGATAAAAATCAAATCTGAGTATTTGTACATAGTTTTTAGTTGCTGTTTCACTATTAAATTACTGAACTTATGAATAAATGACCAAATTATGTCTTCATTCATGGCTTTCTAGTTTTCTGTAGCATCAGTCTGAAAAGTATTGGGAAAAAACACTGCTGCGTGAGTTGAATCATCACAGTTTTCTTTATTATTATTTTTCAAAATGAAGTGATAAAAAAAGTACAAATTCCTTTTTATCAATAAAACTTTACAAACATGATACTTGGAGCATGAAAAGTAAACAGTGACACCTGTTTGTCTTATTATTGAATAAATCTATTAAAACACCCATGAACATCAACTACATTTTTAAATAGCAGTATAAATCTCATAATTTTGTGCTCCCGAGAGCCATTTCCTGCTCCTGATTCAGTCCGTTTTCAATGCTGGCTTTCTTTGATCCCCTGTAAATGAGAGATAAAAAAAAAAAAAATCAGCTTTTAATTTTGTATTTAATTCTGTGCATCAAAAGTTAAGTGCTTTTTACATGATTTATTATTGCTTATATGTGTGAAATGTCACTAATATAAAGAATCCTCACATGCTCTCATCCACGGGAGCGTCAGTGTGGTCCTGTAGTTCGGTGTTTAGTGTTTCTGGGAGCAGGAAGGTCAGGGCTCCTCCCACAAAAGGAAGAGACCCGTATATGACCATTGGAATAGAATGATGATACACGTTCAACAAGCCAATCAGAGGAGCTAGAATACCACCGACACGCGCACACATGGAGTTCAGTCCCACTCCATTTTGCCTATAGACAATTGAGTTTAAGAATGAGAACTCATGTAGAATGCAGAACTGAAAACAGTGAGTGTTCATGCAGGTTTCTCTCTTTTACATACACACCTGACAACCGTTGGGTACAGCTCAGCAGTGTACACATACACTATGGTGAAAGAGGCAGCAAGGGAGAACTTCCCAATCACAGCGATCACAGTCACAATCACAGGATACTCTGGGAAAAAGCAGATGGAGTTGAAATCAAGAGTATTAACGTGTTTCGGTCACATTAATGAACATTTAAGCAGCTTGTCATTTGAATGCTTTTCCAACCCAGTCTCATGAAAGCTCCTCATGACAAGAATTTTATGATTTGGTGAATTAGTTGCGAATTCATTCAATCTCATTAAAGGGTTAGTTCACACAAAAATGAAAATTATGTCATTAATGACTCACCCTTATGTCGTTCCAAGACCGTACGATCTTGGGAACACAGTTTAAGATATTTTAGATTTAGTCCGAGAGTTTTCTGTCCCTCCATTGAAAATGTATACACAGTATACTGTCCTTGTCCAGAAAGGTTAGAAAAACATCATCAAAGTAGTCCATGTGACATCAGTTAGAATGTTTTGAAGCATCGAAAATACATTTTGGTCCAAAAATAACAAAAACTACGACTTTATTCAGTATTGTATTCTCTTCCGGTTCTGTTGTCAATTCGCGTTCATTGACGCTGCTGACGTGCTATCAGTGCGCCCGAGCTTCGTTTACAGTCTGAGGGAGACGCACGCTGTAAACAAAACAATCTTCGCAAACATGTCTAAGGATTTCGACACAGAGGAAGACTTGCATTTTTTTGCTCAGCCATATTTATTTGAACCCGAATACACGGACACACCAGATACACGTCAGCAGAGCCGGCCCTAAGCAAAATTTGATTTGGGGGCCCCTCCCACTACACGGAGTCACCTGTGCTTGACGATTATTGACACAAATGTCACGCAATAATGATACATTATAAATTAACAGTGAGGTTATGTATAAATATAAAATAAATACTTAATAAAAAATAGATAGCCTACTAAAATATTTTTTTTTAACTTTTAATTTACTCTTTTACTAACTCTTGAGAAAACTGAGAAATCAAAAACATAATAAGAGCAAGGGTTCAACAATGACAATTATTATTATTTCTCAACTGTCTCAATACAGTGTAACTGTCCACAAAATCTTTTTTATTTTATTTATTATTATTGTAACAGACTTTGTTAGATTGTTCATGACAGAATCCAACAAAGTCTGTTACCATAATACCGGTAATGATGTACTGCCGCTCGTTGTATATGTGTATGCAATGTATTTTTCCCCTCGGGGCTTGCCGTAGATGGGTCAATTGCTGCACAAAACATACCGTTAGTAATCATGCAAACATACTTTTATCTTGTTCTTTTTTTCTCCTCCTGTGTCATTTTCTTCGTTCTATTTTCGGCACCAGAGGGATACGTTCTTTTTTGTGACATGCCTTAACATTACCGCGAGTCCGCGACTATGCGCAGTTGCGCACGAATTGTCTATGCACGCGCGAGGTGTCTAGATTATGCGCATGTCTTAAACGCTGGCAGACACAGCAGCAGTTGTAGGGAGGTAGGCAATATTGATCATGAAATCAGATTTTTTTGTCTTTAATTATTCATTCATTCATATTAATTCATTCATTTATGTCACTTGTTTAAGTTATCTAAAAAAAATATTTTTCGATTTTTCGACTCGATTGGGGGGCCCCCTGGTGGCCAAGGGGCCCCAAGCAGCTGCTTAGTTCGCTTATGCCTCGGGCCGGCCCTGCACGTCAGCAGCGTCACTGCGGACTCGTGAACGCGGCTCGACAACAGAACCGGAAGAGAATACAATGCTGAATAAAGTCGTAGTTTTTGTTATTTTTGGACCAAAATGTATTTTCGATGCTTCAGAACATTCTAACTAACCCACGGGTGTCACATGGACTTCTTTGATGATGTCTCTATTTCCTTTCTGGACAAGCACAGTAGGCCTATACCTTGTATACATTTTCAATGGAGGGACAGAAAACTCTCGGACTAAATCTAAAATATCTTAAACTCTGTTCCGAAGATGAACGGAGGTCTTACGGGCTTGGAACGACATGAGAGCGAGTCATTAATGACATAATTTTCATTTTTGGGTGAACTAACCCTTTAATACATTTTTATACGATCTGCTCACACAGTCCTGAGGGCTTAGGTTAAGGTGTGGACTTTTATGGTGACGTTTTGCCTGCAAATCGTACGTTTTCATAAGAATCAGATCATATGAATCCGTACAAAATCGACAACTAGTACAAATCATGCGTATAAATGTGCCACACTGATTTCCTCTGTTACATTAATGAACATTTAAGCAGTTTTTGTCCTTTGAATTTTTTTTCAACACTTTTTGGGGACCCTCTTTCTTCTATAATTGTAAAATAAGACTCGCTCACCCCCTGGTATAGCAGGAATAACCAGGCAAGCTGTGCCTCCTAGAAGCAGAACAGCACTCTGGCAGATCCTCCTTCCGAAGCGCTGAATGAGAGGAAAGCAGGCCAGCCGGGCGGGAAACTCTGCAATGCCAAAGATCAGTTGAGTCAGGTAAATGTCCAGGCCGAAGTTCCCCACGTTCAAGCTGACTCCATAGTAAACCAGGCTCGTCACAAACCTACAATAATGAGGTTTGCAGTGAATGAATGCAGTGTTAATGTAAAAACGTGTGTACATAGTGCATTGTATCAAATGATTAATTGAAATGTTAGTACATACATGTAGTAGTTAAAGACACCTAATATAAAGTGGGACCGCTTTATGTTGTTGTATTTAATACATTCGGTGAATCCCAATTTGCCTACTTATGCACTATTTTATGACATTCTATGAAAAAGTACACTTTAAAACATTCGGTCCGGATGATGCACTTATTTAAAGGTGCAGTAAGAGATTTTTCAAAACAGAGTACCACAACAAACTTGTAGCCAATCAGCATTAGGGTGGAGGAAAGAGAGTGAGCCAATCAGCAGTAGGGGGCGTGTCCACTCATAATGGGGGAGGAGAGAGATTGAGCAAGAGGTAGATTTGAAGAAAGACTGTAGAAAGAGAGATGACTGAGAGACAATACAAAAGAGAAAATCTCAGAGGAACATCACTGGAAAAAGAAGGGTTATGATCAGTGCTTCCTTGTCGTTCGTTCAATCATCTTTGCAGTATTTTTCGCCTCACACACCAGTGATCCCGGTTCGAGACCAGCTATGGACCAGCCTAAACGCATCCGAGCTGTAAAGTGTTCGTGAATTTTGGAGGCGGAGCAATGGGAATCGGTTTGTTTGGGTTGATTTCAAATATCAACAGTGTTCAGCAACTCCTCTGGGAGATTGCATACCGCACCTTTAAATGAATGAATCCATTAAAAGTGTGGAATGTTGGACACTTCATGCACTCAACTGTCGCAGCTTTAATAGCGAAGGGGCTAACAGACTCCCATGTAGAATGAGGAAATGCTGTCATAACTCACCACATATAGCACATGATGAGAGCTCTCTTTCTCAGGTAATCCACTCGGAACAGGTCTAGCATGGAGCCTTTTTTTACTGTGTTCTCTGCTTCCATCTGATAATGCATAATTTCATGGTAATTCATCATTTTCAATACCTTCATTTAAGCAGGAAAAGCTCACTGAGATAAAAAATCTAATTTACAGGAGTGTCCTGGGTAAGGTAAGCAGCCCGAATTTGCATATACATATACAAGTAGAAACATATATAAAAACAACAACCATTAAATGTACAGATTTGAAAGACCTACTTTCAATAGTTTATAAGCTCTTTTCTAAGACCAGATAACGCTTGGCTATCTACATAGAGAAAGCGGTCACCTTGTCGAGCAGATTTTCGGGCACCTTCCTGCCATTGATTCGGGCTGCTTTCAAGATCTCTTTCTTGGCTCTGTCTTGCTTGCCCTGAGTCAGAAGCCATCGGGCAGACTCAGGGAGAATCCTGCCAAAAACATTGAAAATTGATTAGAAAATAAAACAGAAATTAAATTAAATAACTTAACAAAAAAATGTCATTAAAATATTTGAAATATTTCATCTGTATACTTGCTTGTCATGTGACCGACATCAGAATATGCAAATGCAAAAAGTTTGGGAATCCCTGATATAGAATAACTCTAACCAGTAATAGACGCAGAAAATCCCAACTGGTGCTGACAGAACCAGCTGTAAAATCCTCCAGTTTCGGATCCCAAAGGCCACACCAGACAGCAACATCAGGCCGATGGCATAAAAGCAGTGCGACAATATGGTGAAAAGGGCGCGCTTGGCTGAACCGCACCACTCGGTACCTAAAACATGTTTGAAATACCATGAAAACAAGTTATACAATTTTAAATAGCAATCATCTTTTCATAGCGATTTCTGTTGTTACAGGACATTTGTTTAAAGTCAGCATGAAACAGAAGTTGCTATTCTTGATGTATACATGGCTTCTTGAACAAGAAAAAAATGTAGGACGGGACTTAATCGGGAATTGACTGGATGATTGGATGGTTGTGGTTGTGGTTTGCTATTGCTGTGATCTCATATGAGTGACAGGTTGACCCGCCCTTGCAGCGAAAAAAAACAGATCATCAGAGAAGAGAAGAGATGTCGTTGCAAGGGGGAGGGGAAATTATTTTGATTAAAGATTACGAGAGCACATGAATTGTAAAATATAATGATGTGCGAGGATAAATCATTTATAATAAATACTGCAACAACACAAAAAGCCAATTTTTAATTCATGGTGACTTTAAAGCATACGTGTACTGTAAATGCACTTTCTACATGCTATCTAATTATCTAAATGAAATTTCAGGGTTTTTTTTTATATACTGGCATTAAAAAGGAGTCACATGTGTTACCCAGAACAAACGTGTTCATAGAGATCCCTGATACTGTGGTGCCGACCACAAAGCGGAGGGCTATGTAGACATAGATGTTGGGGGAAAATGCTATTCCCACCCCAAACAGAAACTGCAGGAACAAGGAAAGCAGCGTGACAAACCGCCGGCCATACCTGTGACAAGAAAACAAGTTAACCAGGACAGTTATGCAAGCGCTCAAATGACTTATTATTTGACACAAAATATGGCCCTTTATTAATGATGGATGGGTTGTTAAAACAAACTGAATAATCTGTATGGTATGTTTTTTGTTGTTGTTGTTGTTGGAAAAACTCAAAAATAATCATTGTGTGTTTTATATCATTCTTATGTTGCTTGGACTCTACACGTACTTGTCTGCCATTGGCCCAAACAATAGGGCTCCAATAAGAAGACCAGCCATGTAGATGGACTGAGATGCCTCATTATAAATCTTATTTTCACACACCAGGTCAAACTATGATAAGAAAAGAAAACATGATAAAAGACAGTAAACAAATGCCAATGAAAATTATATGTATTGATTACAGTATATAATAACTTTCAATTTTATGTAAAACAATAAAACGTAATATAAAAGGGTAGTTAGTTTCTGTAAAGACACATACTTTAAAGTTGCGGCTACAATTTTTAAAGATTTCGACCATTAATGTCAAGGAAAAAAGACATGATCTATTGTGATAACAATGGGGTAATTTGGCAAGCTAAATTTAATAGAAAAAATTATGAAACGAACAAAACTAAACTATTATGACGATACATATGCATTATATAGCAATTGCTTTTATTCTAACAAGTGACTGTAAGAAAAAAGAAAAAAAAAAGCTGCCAAGCTAACAGGGAACGTTCTCTGAACTTTGGCTAACATTCTGGCAAGGTTCCCAAGTTATGAACAAAATGTTCTTGCAGTACCATTAATAAGAAAGTTCATTCAAAGTTATCTGGTCTTCAAAAATGTTCTCAAAACGTTAGCACAAAAACATTATTTATACATTGTTCATGGAAGGTTTTTTCTGAAAAGTTTTAGTTCCAACTAGTCCAGCTAACATTTTTCAGAATATTTAGAGAACATTCAAATGTAACATTCCCACAATGTTTGCAAAATTATAAAATAGAATGTTTCCTTCACATTCAAATAACCAAGAAAAAACTTTTTAAACATTTGAAAAAAAATGGACATTTTTAAAGTTTAGAGAACATTCAGAAAAATAATTTCCATAACCTAATATAAATATTAGCAAAAGGTTCTTAGAACATTTTGTTAGCTAGGTGAGTTTGCAGGTGCTAGGTGAAATAATTATTTTTTTGCATTATATTTTTATAGCCTTGCAGCTAAATTAATTAATCGCATCTAACATAAAAGTTTGTAAATATATCATATATCAGACATAAATTTATAAATTGTTATGTTAGATGCGATTAATCGCTTTGACAGCACTTGTTTTTACATAGGCTACAAGTATAAACGTTTCACGCGTTTTCAAACGATTCGTAACCAAAAGTTAAATTATGAGTTAGAAATTGCCTTTGCGAGAGGAGGTAATCATGGCAACAAACAGTCATTAAGTTATTATAGGTTTAATCATCACAAATACAGTCGGTAGGCTATATCACATAATTGTTCTGTTTTTTAAAGGGTTGCGCGAGACGAACTTTGATTATGACCAGAAAATTAGTGTAGGCTATAATTTTAACTCCTCTGAAAGACATTATTTTAATATTATTAGGCCTATATCTTATACCTATGCGTTAAAGTGTAACCATAAAAGTTAAATATTTATGAAAAATATATAGACATATAGCCGGACAAATAAGGCCTACGTTTATAAAGCAATTTAAGAAAAGCCAAATAATGGAACATAGCTATATAGCCTATCATAATAATCTATATCAAGTTCATTACAGTACCTCAGTTATAAGAGTGCTGCTGTCTTCTGGTGCCTTATAAACCCATCCATCGGTACATGATGTCGTTTCGTTTATTCCATAAGCTTCAATGGCATCGAGATCCAGATCAACAGGTGAGAACATCTGACAGCTCTCATATTGTCCTTTACTGTCCAGAGGGATGGTGAGGTTCAGCTGCTTCTCCTCTGTCAGGTTTGGAGCCCGCTGTAAGATCCAGCTGCTGTTGCAGTTGTGTGGGAAGCTGATGGCGGTGAAGACCTGACCGAACATGTGGAAAGCTGTGAAGATGTTGGGGAGGCATACCGCCACCAGCAAGCGTTTCTGAAACGCTCCAAACTCGCCGACGGACGACAGGATCTGCGCGAAGTCTATCATGATCACTGTGGGCCACCGTCAGCGGCGGCTCGCGCTTAAAACACCTGCACCGCGGATCCCACAAATTAATTTTTAAACTTGTCACAAGTTCAGCATATCTGCTCGCGTGCACTTATCTGTTACTGTTACGATAGATCAAATATAAAGCACTTATTTATTTCACAGCGAGAAGGACAGTCAGTTCATCATAAAAATAACGGTCTAAATTAGGTAGTTGCCTAGGTTAATAAGCTGATTCCAATGGTTAAAATGTTCTGAGAGGAGTACCTGCAGACAGTGTGTGTGTGTGTGTGTGTGTGAGAGTGTGAGGGACTTTGGATCATGGGGCAAATGCAGTTAAACACTGGGGCCTTTTTGCTAGTTAATAAGGCGGTCTTATTGTGGTAATGTGTAAACTGTTGTGATGCTTGTGGGTTAAGCACAATATTTAGACAACAATGTAGCCTATATGTGTAACAAAGTAGCCACACTCTCAAGGGGAAAAAATCAGATGATTGTGACAGGACAAGCTATGAGACTAAGATCAAAGAAAAATAAGGATGATTAATGCCATTGTGTACAAAACTTAAACATTTCAAAGGTGAAAAACTATATATTTTCAAGACGTTTTTTTTTTAAATGACCTGTCCTGAATGTGTGCCTTTTAATTAAATATTTAATGTTAGTTTGTTCTTAAGCTGTATTTCTATAAAAACATTTTTTTTTTGTATGAATACAGCTCTGTGGGAAGCATAATATGCAAATACATTAACATATACAGTAACCAATTGTAACCAATAAGGAGGCATTTTTTAAGTTAATTCTTTATTGATTTTAAAGCATTTTAAAACATGCCTTAAAATTCAAAACAAGCTAAATAAAAATAAAAGAGATAATATAAACTAAAGAAAAATAATTCATATTTTACTGACTGTTTTTTGCTTTTCATTTTTTTATTGCTTACAGTAAACGGTCTGTCCCTGTACTACAACAATTAAGAAGAAGCCAGGAGATTTGTGCTACTTTATAAAATGCATATTACTAAGATTGGATATTATTGTTCATACCATTTAATCATGTTGACCATATATCTGCTGCATAGCAACCTCAATATGCAAAATTCCTTATTAGAAGCAAAACTCGCCTTTTCAAAAGCAAGCAATTTATCAAAGCTTTATTTTACACCTCCTTTTATCTTTTGAATCTTCCCAATAAAACTGGAAAAAGGTTTAAATTATTTAATAATTAGTTGAGAATATATATATATATATATATATATACAGGTGAAACTCGAAAAATTAGAATATCGTGCAAAAGTTCATTTATGTCAGTAATTCAACTTAAAAGGTGAAACTAATATATTATGTAGACTCATAACATGCAAAGTGAGATATTTCAAGCCTTTATTTGTTATAATTTTGATGATTATGGATTACAGCTTATGAAAACCCCAAATGTGAAAAGGTTTTCATATCTGTAAGCCATAATCATCACAATTATAACAAAAAAAGGCTTGAAATATCTCACTTAAATAAAAATGCAGCAATAATAAATAAATAAATTCAAATAAATGCAGCCTGGGTGAGCATAAGAGACTTTTTTTTAAAAACATTAAAAATCTTACCGATCCCAAACTTTTAAACGGCAGTGTGTGTATATACACTCACCGGCCACTTTATTAGGTACCCCATGCTAGTAACGGGTTGGACCCCCTTTTGCCTTCAGAACTGCCTCAATTCTTCGTGGCATAGATTCAACAAGGTGCTGGAAGCATTCCTCAGGGAGTTTGGTCCATATTGACATGATGGCATCACACAGTTGCCGCAGATTTGTCGGCTGCACATCCATGATGCGAATCTCCCGTTCCACCACATCCCAAAGATGCTCTATTGGGTTGAGATCTGGTGACTGTGATGGCCATTTTAGTACAGTGAACTCATTGTCATGTTCAAGAAACCAATTTGAAATGATTAGAGCTTTGTGACATGGTGGAAATAGCCATCAGAGGATGGGTACATGGTGGCCATAAAGGGATGGACATGGTCAGAAACAATGCTCAGGTAGGCCGTGGCATTTAAACGATGCCCAATTGGCACTAAGGGGCCTAAAGTGTGCCAGGAAAACATCCCCCACACCATTACACCACCACCACCAGCCTGCACAGTGGTAACAAGGCATGATGGTTCCATGTTCTCATTCTGTTTACGCCAAATTCTGACTCTAACATCTGAATGTCTCAACAGAAATCGAGACTCATCAGACCAGGCAACATTTTTCCAGTCTTCAACTGTTCAATTTTGGTGAGCTCTTGCAAATTGTAGCCTCTTTTTCCTATTTGTAGTGGAGATGAGTGGTACCCGGTGGAGTCTTCTGCTGTTGTAGCCCATCCGCCTCAAGGTTGTGCGTGTTGTGGCTTCACAAATGCTTTGCTGCATACCTCGGTTGTAACGAGTGGTTATTTCAGTCACTGTTGCCCTTCTATCAGCTCGAACCAGTCTGGCCATTCTCCTCTGACCTCTGGCATCAACAAGGCATTTCCGCCCACAGAACTGCCGCTCACTGGATGTTTTTTATTTTTCGGACCATTCTCTGTAAACCCTAGAGATGGTTGTGCGTGAAAATCCCAGTAGATTAGCAGTTTCTGAAATACTCAGACCAGCCCTTCTGGCACCAACAATCATGCCACGTTCAAAGTCACTCAAATCACCTTTCTTCCCCATACTGATGCTCGGTTTGAACTGCAGGAGATTGTCTTGACCATGTCTACATGCCTAAATGCACTGAGTTGCCGCCATGTGATTGGCTGCTTAGAAATTAAGTGTTAACGAGCAGTTGGACAGGTGTACCTAATAAAGTGGCCGGTGAGTGTATATATATATAAAAATATATATGTGTGTGTGTATATATATATATATATATATATATATATATGTGTGTGTGTGTATATATATATATTTATATGTGTGTGTGTGTGTGTGTGTGTGGCAAAAAGGGCAAAGGGTAAAAAATCAGATGAAACACTGCTTTAAAATAATTACGATACTTAAGATTATTCCAGGCTGTTCTTGCACAGGTAGCGATATGTTTAATGAGATTTCTTGAGTGAAGTAAACAACCTCTCACATGTTCTAAGGAAAACTTCAGAAGTTCAGGACAGACCTGCTGGAAACATCAGGCAAATATAGGCCATCTAAGACCCCGCTGTGATTACAGGCACCCTCAGACAAACCAACAAAACTCACAATGTGTCTTTTGTAACCGACACCACCTCCCATCACCTTATTTATGGAGAACACAATGGCCATGAGTGAAGCATCCCATATAAAATCAAACCAATGGCAAATTACATTATTTACATGTTCAATTGAGATCAGAAATACACATGAATTCTTAAGAGTTCAATAGCAAAACAGAAAAAACCAAACACCAAAGTTTCATCAGGTACCTCACGTACGTCTTTTTCAAAAATGACAGAAACTTATAAAAAATGAGCAGAAGTGACAGATAGTCAAAAATTTAAAACCAAAATGCACAAATTAATGTGAAATCTAAAAAAAGGGAGAGATATGGTTGATGCAAATGTGTAGAAACATTAAGGCAATAACTTTAAGAGCAGCGTGGGATAGTAACATTTGCAAATGTGCCCTGTTGAGACAGCACACACACACACACACACACACACACACACACACACACACACACACACACACACACACACACACACACACACACACACACACACACACACACAATAAAATAAACAAGGAAAAAGCAGCAAAATAAACCAGCTTTTTGGAGTGTTCGTCGAGGCTCAATGACACTGAATAGATCATTTAATCTTATTCAGCAAATCTGTGTTGCATCTGAAATAAGAGATATTGTACATTGAAGAAATCAGACTCTCTATATAACAGGCGAGAATGGAAGTTGTTTTTGAGCTGAATTTCTAAACCAGATTCTGTAAATGTTCATCAAGCTGGTTTAAACAAACCCCAGTAAATAATGCAAGCGGTCTGATAAAACATGCTAGCTGCTTCTCTTTAAAGGCGTAGAAAAAAATACAAGTAAAAAAAAAAAATGCTATAGCTACTGCAAACCCATTCACTCGTTTCCTCTATTAACACCATGTTTCTTTGAGTTCCATTCTCCTCATGCACGCAGTACTTATATTAGAGGCATTTCGTTTTTTTGTGTGTCAGTTCAGATTGTGCAAAAATAGAACAAACAGAGGAAAAGAAAGAGAAACATTAAAAGAGCATTAAGGTTACATCTGGTTATGATAATTGCATACTTAGATGAATCAATCGTAAACTTTATTTTAAAGGATTCCTACAAATTCTGATCTTTGTGCAACTCTGCTGTGGGCCTTTTGAAATCCTATGGGCTGCGCAATGGTACTTTTCTCTTTGGCAACAGTGGTTTCTTGAGGGCAATTGAAAGAGGAAAAAATATCAATGTGTCATTCTGTTGGTAGTGTTGGTTTGTTTTCACATTTGTAGGCAAGTCATGGTCCCCGCACAGAGCCAAAGTCTAGTTAATGCTAAGCTGAGCAAATCCCAAGAGTTTGACATCATCGGGAATCTCAGAGCCTTCAACACCAGATGCCTGGAAAACACCACGCATGACGTGTTACTGCAACACACCATTAAGGACTTAAGGCCCGTTCACACCAAACTCACTATATTAGCGTCCAGGTTTGCCTTCTGCCATTTTAAAGCAGGATGAACTCTGATTGGCTGTCAAGGTTTTTATAAGGTTTCTCTCTGCCGTTGTAGTTATAGTGGTGTGGACTCTGTTATTCTTGAATGATTTTTATAACTCTATCTTTATTGTTATAGTTTTTGTCCTTGATGTGAACGGGCCTTTGCACACAGTGGGTTTAACTGAACAGTCACTTACCAGTTTAAATGTGACATTTTTATTGGAATGAGGCTCTTCAACTATCTTCTGCAAATTAGCAGCCACTGAAATGACACAAAACAGAAGTTTAGGACTAAAACCATGATTGTTTGTATGCCTTTAAGTTTTATTTGACCTTTTTAAATGATTTGAAATTGCTATTTATTTTCCTCACACATAACATCGCCATTTTTCAAGCAGTTTAAACAGATGCTGATTTCAGTCAAAATCTGCACAAGTTATACGAATTTTTTTTAAGAATTCTAATAAAAGTATTTTTTAATTAAAAACTATATTATAAGCATAACAATTAGAGTGAAAAACTGATTATTATAACTGGAATTATAAAAACAAATATATTTTTTTAAATTATATTATATTGTATTGTTCAAAACAGTAAAAACAGTAATATAGTCAAATATTACAATTTAAAATAACTGATTTCTATTGTAATATATTTTAAAATGTATTTGATTCCTGTGTTGGCAAAGCTGAATTTTTATCATCATTACTCCAGTCTTCAGTGTCACATGATCCTTCAAAAATCATTCTAATATGCTGTTTTTCTGCTCAATAAATATTTATTATTATTATCATTAATGTTTAAAACAATTGTGCTGCTCAATATTTTTGTGGAAACCGTGATACATTTTCTTCAGGATTCTTTGATAAATAAAACAACTTTAATTATAAATGTCTTCACCTTTGATCAATTTAATGCCTTCTTGCTCAATGACAGTTTTAATTCCTTAAAAAATAACTTACCTATAACTAAATCTCGCCCGTCTACCAAGCCAGCCGATACCAGTTCCTGAGAAACCCCATCTGCTGTGTCTACAAACAGAGAAAATGTATGTGATGCATTTATTCCACTTTAAAATGATTCGTTTTTAGAGCATCGAGCATGGCAAATTGCAACATCCTGGATATTTGAATTGACAAGGTTGTAGATCTTCTGACAACTTAACTGCACACATCATGCTTACATACTGTAGTCAGTACAGACAGCAGAATGAAGACGTGTTCAGGCAGAAGAACATTCTCACACAGGCCAGCTATGCGCATGTCACTAAATGTTTTATTTTGGGAAAATTTCCAACGTGACTGACAAAACGCAGATGCGGCAGGCTCTTTGACATCTGACGGGGTAGAAAAATGATGCTCTTGCTTTGCTTGGGCCTTTCTGCTGGAGGGCAAAACACTGAGATAAACAGGAACTGATTCTAAAAGGGTGTTGAATTGTTTTTTACAGGCAAAAAACATTGGACAAAAGATTTGCCCAAGTGTGTCGTAAATCGTACTGATTGAGATGTTCACCGCCCTTGACAAATGTGACAACAGTCAACCATAACATTCAGAGTTTTTTCAAAAGAGTTGTGGAAAAAATCAGACAGTTTGGGAATACATCTATATTAAAGGCATACTCCATCTAAAAATGTGAAGTTTTGTGTGGTTTTTGAAGTGTCAACATTGAGGGACTCTGATTGTATGGACTCACAGAGATGGATTATTTTTCTAAAAGTACTCATTTATGTTCATCTGAAGAAAGAAAGTAATATACATCTGGGACAGCATTGGGCTGAGAAAATGATGAGAGGATTTTCATTTTAGGGTGGAATATCCCTTTAAGAGTGTATTACCGTATGTGGATTTATTCAAGTGCAGTTATTGCAAGACTACTAGCCATGTGTCTTTATGCTCTTACCTCTGCCAGGCATGAACTCAAATCGGATGTCATTCAGTTCCTTTTTCAAGTTTCTGTAGGACAGGAGAAGAAATAGAAGTCATCTACTGCTCCTGTTTACACTTTTAATAATAAAGGCTCTTTATTGGCATTGATGATTCTATGGAGAACCTTTAACATTAATAGAACATTTCCATAGCTCGAAAGGTTCTTTATATTGAAAAAATGTTCTTGAGATTATATAAATGTTCTTTACACAAACCAAAATGTTCCCCCTCATATTTTTAGGAGTGTATGCTGGATCAACATCAATAAATGACTCCAAATATAAGAACAGCAAACACAACTTACCTTAACCTTAATACTAAACTGATGGGGGACTGGGGGGCATCATCTCCAGGAACTGAGGCCTACAGATAGAGACAGAGATGGTGATGAGGAGCATCAGCTTCATTTCAAAACTGAGGTGGCCTAATAACTGAATGTTGAAATGCTTCATACAACAGCTAGTTTTAGGCTTGCCAACCGTTCCGTATAATACGGAATCGTCCCGTATTTGACACATAAAAGTCTTGTTCCGTATTGAACTGATACGGAACGCACTTTGTTCCGTATTTTTGAGAATCAATTCAGTGCAAATCCATGACAGACGCATAGCTTCTAATATATATGTCAGACAGACTATGAAACGCTTGGGGGGCTCTGACGTGTAATGACGTACAGTTGGCTCATTGGTCGCCCGCGCCATTGGATGTGCAGTTGCCGCAGCGCAGCCTATGAGCGAGCCAGACACTCAATGTGCTAGCTGTGCAGCTGCAAATGCGTTTTGCGTTTTACATAAGGCTTCAGTAAATGGAGGAAAAGGAGTTTCCGAAGACATTTCTAGGCTATGATAAGAAAAAATACAAAATTAAAAATATTATTTTTTGCACTGGAAAGAACATTCTAGAAGTCTAATTCTATTGAATAAGTGCGCACAAGGCTACAGAAAACTGTTGCGTTTATTTTTCTTCAAATGCAGTCTAAGCTAATGAGTTTTGAATTTTATATGTTGTATTTGTTTAAGTTAAAAATAAAACGTATTATAAACTAAACAAATCCATGGTTCATTGTTGGCAAAAATGATCATGATAGCCTTTATATATCTATGTTAGGCCTACTTTGCTATTCTATAAATATATATAGGCCTAATAAGTTGTATTATAATATGCTATAATGTATGATAGCATACAATATTCACCAGAAGTCACCATTTCAGGGGTTATTAGTTGGCAACCCTAGCTAGTGTACCTGCGCAGGCTGTGAAGGGGTTGTAGTGTGTTGAGTGTTGGCTGGGCCCTGGCCAGCAGCTTGAGGTATTTCAGGCTGGAGGTGACTGCTGAAAGGCTGGAATATCTGAAGATACATGCATAGACCCACACAGACATTTAGTAATTGCGTTATAAATATATAAATATATATATTTTTTAAATCCAAACAAATAATACCAACATTAAATGAAATGTTTGGAATGGAATACTAGTTTACTATTTAGTGGATGCTGTGCAGTGCACACTATTCTTAAAAAAACAGTAGGTATTATTACACTATAAATGTTTAAAGAATATTGTATACACTGCATGTGAGTTTGTGAAAAAAAGGGTTATTTTGCCCATTTTAAGCCAGTTTTATTTAAGAACAATTGTAATTTAAATCCTTAATACTGTAATACAAAAACAGCTAAATCAATTCAATTACTTTTTACAACATGCATTGCAGGATACAGTAGTCTGCAGAGTGCCATACTTTGCCAAACACAGTAGATCATTTGAATATTTCATGCATACAAAAAAAATTCATTATTTGACAATTATGCATAGTACATACAGCAGGAATCGTTAGTATGGTAAATTAGTATGGTAGTAATGGTTTACATACCTCTATATTCTGGAGTCCTTCTCTTACTCTTGGTGACTGTGTGAGAGAGATAGAATGAGCAAAAGTTAAATGTCCAAGTCTCTTGTAATAATATATAATTGTTTGGGTTACTGTAATTCAGCATTGGATTTAAACACACTGTAGTAAGGAATGAAGCAGGGAGTTAAGGACCTTCATGAGTATTTCATTTTACACATTTGCTATGATTCTAAATAAACATTTCATAGCTTTTGTATAATATCCTTCAAGAATTCAAGGGCTATTGGGATTGTTTTGAGATATCCAACCAAATTTACAGTTTATATCCACAATATCTGCTTAGAAAATATTCTATTCAACAGTATTTTCCAAAAGTATCCAAAGTATTCTCCCCCACCCACCACCAGAAAAAAAAAACACACTTAAACACTTCCACCTAAACCGAGTTATATTCAGACTTACACTGCCGTTTAAACGTTAAGGTCTGTATTTATTCATTTATCTTAAATAAATACAAAAAATTATTCAGCTATAATGCATTCAATTAATCAAAAGTGTCAATCAAAATGAATCAAAAGACATTTATAGCCATTTTTTATGATTTAAAAAAATCTTTCTGCTGAAACTTCAGCTTTGCAATGACAGGTATAAATAACATCTTAAAATATATTCAAATCAAACCATCATAATTCATAATATTACTATTTTTACTGTATTTTAAATTAATGAATTAATCTTTTGATCAAATGAATGCAGCCTTAGTGAACTTAAGAGACTTAACTAATAAAAAAATGTTTTTACAAACCCTAAACTTTTGAACAGTAGTGTACATAATGATATGACATGATATCTAAGGTATTTGGCCATATAACTACCAAACTGGAATCCAAAAATCATTTATTGACCAGAAGTGGCCATATTGCATGTTAGTGCCTCAATCAGCAGAAGTCTCATTACGAGGCTGTTAAACAGAATTTGCTTGGTTATCAAAGGTCATTGATTTGGTCAGTATTTCAAAGTTGTAAATAAAAACACAATACAGATGGCGTCCAGGAAGCACACATCATCACTATTCAGTCAGTCTCTCTGTTTTTTCTAGCAAGAATTGGTTACACTTTTTTTTTAGTCCTTGAGATTAGAGTGAGTGGTCAAGCTTAAGTAGCCGTGTAAGTAGATATTTCAGTATTTTGGTGATCTCAAAACGCACATATAAGCTATGGGTTCATAATGAGCAGGGGATACGGAACAAATGTTATCACAAGAAGCGATCTAAATGCTTTTATACTGTACATGATTATTTCTTGCATAGATAAACAGATCATCACAGACAGGTGAAGGTGCAACGGTCATCCTTAACCAACCAGAACTCTAGTATCTTTATTGTCTTAGTCTTTGAAGCTGGATAACAAGAATATCAGCAGATACTGTATATTATGCTCTTGAACAAATTCACTTCCTCTTTATCTAGCACTTCCTACACGTCCAAATGCTGTGTTTGACTGAGTGTGCTTCCTTGTTAAGGTGAGCCATCTGTATCAGTGGGAAAACTGAACAACCCTGGGTGGGGGCAACTCAAGAGGCTGAGAGAAACGGACTTGTCGCCTTGTCGACTTCGACTGCTGCTCCTTTAGCGGCAAACAAAAACAACACAGAGCCCAGGGATGAGAGGTGCCACAACAGCAACACCATTACAAACACCACAGACAAACAAAGAGTGCAAACAACCAGTGCTGAACCACTGCAGAGAGAGGGTGTGTGTGTGTGTGTGTGTGTGTGTGTGTATGTGTGTTACCCGTAAGGCAGCAACAGCAGCTTTGCCCTCCTCGCTCTCCTCATCCAGTTCATCATCGCTCCATTCCCACTCTCCATCTTCTGTTTTATGGAGTCTCCCACTGGAGCCAGGAACTCGTCGTACCTACACACATACACACACAAATATACATATACATATGTTTATACAGACATGCGTATAGAAGAGCAAAATATGTTTAGGTTTAATTTTTTTTAATTAATATTTAAATGTATATTTATATATATTTTAAAAAGAATCAAAATGAATACATTTAATTATCTGAAATTCTGAATATTTTTTTCAAAACTGATTTTGGATATTCTTTATTGTCCCTAAAATGATTTTGATTTGTGGTGCTGTAAATATACATACAAATTGGCTAAATCGTCATAATACAGTATATAAAAATGAGCAGTATATAGGTCACAACAGAGCGTGGTAAAAATTAAAACATCATAAAACACTCAAAATAATAATAAAACATTTTCCTCACCTTTTTCGCTCTCTCTGTAATTGTAGGTGCTCTATGTAATAATTTCTCCTGCAGGAATTCATTATTCTGCCAAACAAAATGGAACAGTAAGATAAATATTTTTCTAAATTATGCAAATAACCACCAACTAGGGTTGAATTACAAAACGGGCTGACATTCAAATTCAACTCCAGCCCCCTACTGGGCATGTGCGGTAACATCAGAGTACTCAACGCTGGAAGGAGAGAGAACTGGCTTGATTCCAATAGTAAAAAGGGAAATCCATTTGGCAGAGAGTTTATCAGCCAGTTAGAAAAGGATGCTGGGATGCTCATCCCTGCTTTTAGACACCGATATGATGGCCCAGTAATGAGAGGAATGCTGGACTGAACTCAATAATGATTCATTTACATTGGGGGAGTATTCATACACAGATATGAGAAGATAAAAAGCACCATAAAAGTATAATTTAAAATGTATTTGTGTAACATGAAATTTAAGTCGGTATGCGCAATGCATTAGGATTCAAATATGGTGTGAAAGCTATCATAAGGATTAAACTTTATTTTACAGTAAGTGTACTTACCCAAGAAAATGCTGGGTAATATAAGTAACTACAGGGGTTATGTTTTAGGTGTAGGTTCAGTGTTAGTACCTAGTTATTACCCAGTTATTGTAATTACTGTGATAAGTATGAACATGGGGAACAGAACTGTAAAATAAACTTCTACCATCATATTAAATAATTGGTGCTTTTTTGATGTTTGACAGTGGTCACTATAATAATAATAATATGTTTATTTTCTATAGCGCCTTTCAAGAACCCAAGGTCGCTTCACAATGTAATACAAATAACAAACAACTAGCAAACAAACAACAAGCGAACAAATACAAAGGCCATCTGCTTACGAGAGACTGAACAGTTGGAAACAAGCATGAACCTATGAACCGTTGTTGTATGAAAAACATTTCCTTTTGTGTTCCATGGAAGAAAGAAAGTAATACAAGTGTGGAACAACACGAGGGTGAGTAAATGATGACAGATCGCTCCGACAACTATCCCTTTAAGACTTACATAAAAACATTGAACAATCCAATAAACCAAAAACAATGTCCTGAAAGTAAGATTCTTACCTTGGCTTTCTGGAAGAATTTATGTTTTAAGAGTTCTGATGATGTTGGCCTAAAAAGCAAACACTATTGAAATATATTTGTTGTAACTTAAAGTGTTATCAAGGAATATCAACATTAACAGTCACAAAAAAAAAAAATCCTAATTAAAATGTTTTACACATAAATTACTTAAAAAGTGTTTAAAATCATAAAATCCTATCAGCAAAATAAAATCGGTTTCATTTTACATTGACCAGGTAGTGGTGGCTGCCAGGCTGAATATTACTGAACATAAACATACAGTACTGTTCAAAAGTGTGGGGTCAGTAAAAAAAAAGAAAGAAAAAGGATTTGAACTTTTAGTCAGCAAGGATGCATTCAATTGTTCAAAAGTGACAGAAAAGATATTACAAAAACTATTACAAATAATGTTCTTTTAAACTTTCTATTCATCAAAGAATCCTAAAAAAAAAAATATCACAGTTTTTACAAAAATATGAAGCGGCACAAATGTTTTCAACAATGAAAAAAAAAAGGTTTTTGATCACCAAATCATCATATTAGAATGATTTCTGAAGGATCATGTGACACTGAAGACTGGAGTAATGATGCTGAAAATTCAGCTTTGATCACAGGAATACATTACATATTAAAATGTATATATATAAAAAAGCTTTTAAAAAATGTTATATTTAACCATTTTAATGTTTACTGTATTTTTTTAATCAAATAAATGAAGCATTACTGAGCATAAGAGAACTTTCAAAAAGTCTTACTGAGCCCAAACTTTTGAATGGTAACCCCATAAGAACATCGCGGCTCTGCTCAGCACCTTTTCTCTGGCTCCTTCTGCAAACACAACGAGAGCATCTTCCTCAAGGATTTCCCGTATTTCTTCACCATCTCTTTGTCCGGGATTCCAGTCTCAAGGCAAGGCGGATCATTCTGCAGGGTCAACATCAACACCTGCAAACACACACAGATCTCTGAAACACCAACACGCTATAAAACAACATGTTTCTCATTAGAGTGATGCATGACTGCCGTAAGAGTCATCAGAGCTCGTATGGGACTGTATCTCCTGCTCCTCACCTTCATAGGAGGGTATTTGTGGTAAGGAGCGGAGCCTGTAGCTAACTCGATGGCTGTGATCCCAAAACTCCAGATGTCGGCTTTGAAGTCGTAACCTTTCACCTGCATACACAGTCACAGATTTGTTTAACACGAGAGATGCATCCATATTAGCCAGCAGTTACTGGCAATTTTACATCACATTGAAGTCTTTAGACTTCATAAGAGCTTTAATTGTCCGTGTAATTCAGTCCATATACAGTGAGGTCCAACAGTCTGAGACTACTAGTGAAAATGCGCCTATTTTGCATTATTCTAATTGAATCCTCCATGTGATCTCAGGACCTTTGAAGCGCACTGTATCTTCTTCACTGCAATCAGAGTTTGCATGTCATTCGTTTTATGATGTTAAATAAGCAGTGTGTGAGTAAAGAAAGTGGTTGTAGGGTGGAAATACTTACTTGCTCCATCACCTCTGGAGCCATCCAACATGGTGTTCCCACAAACGTCTTCCGCACTTTATTTCGAGTCATGTCACCACCAGTGGCTAAGAAGGCACTTACTCCAAAATCTAAAGAAATCCAAATAAACAACAACAAAATCACTCATCAAAATGTAAAATTAATAACAAATAAACATATTATCCAATAAGTACGTGTTTTTGTCTAATTAGTGAGTAAGTAATCTTAATGTCTAATAAGCAAGTACTTTATTGTCAGTGTTTACAATTACAATAAAATTCAGTGTGGCAACTTACAGAGTGGGCACTAAAACATTGCACTTCAAAATAAAAAAAAATAAAAAAATGTAAGTTTAAAATAAAAAGTAAAAAAGTATTCAGATGTAAACAATCATTCTAAAGTTTGAGTTCAGTATGTTTTTTAATTTGAAAGAAATTAATACTTTTATTTAGCAAGGGTGCATTAAATTGATCAAAAGTGAAAGTAAAGACATTTATGTTTGTAACATTATACATTTCTTTACTGTCAAGATTTTTATGTCAAATAAATTCAAAGAATAATTAAAAAAAAAAATTAATGGTTTTACTTCAACGTATTATTTCAACATTGATATTAATGAGAAATGTTTCTTGAGCAACAAATCAGCATATTAGAATGATTTCTGAAGGATCATGTGACACTGAAGACTGGAGTAATGATGCTGAAAATTCAGCTTTGACATCACAGGAATAAATCATGCTTTAAAATATAGTTCATTACATTGTAATAATATTTTTTTTTTTAATTATTATTATTATATTCTGGACTATAATGGGCAGTAGTGTTAAACAGAAAGTTGGCACCTGCGATTTGCACTGACCCGTCCTCCCCCAGCAGGATGTTTCCAGCTTTAAGATCCCTGCAGACAAACACAGACACAGATGAATACAGATGTGGATCGCACTGGTCAGACAACAGTTTCGTGAAAAAGTATCATAATAAAGACCTATTAAAGGGGGATTCAACCAGAATGAAATGAGTGCAATATGAGTGCATGATGTTTCTGTATGTGGCTGGTACAGAGAGCAGCATCCAAACATCTGTGGTCATGGTGACGAACTCCTTGCAAACAATATGAACACTATATCTGTCCCTCTGCCCTGTGTTTAACACTCAGCTAAAAGCCAGCAGACATCTCCTCTCCTCCAGAACTGATGATCAAGTCATGTGTGTGTTTGTGTAACACTGAGTTCGCGATTTGTACTCCAATCCATGGAGAATCTGCACTTTTTGCTTCACTGCAAAAGTAGAGTGTGTTTTCTATCTAACTGGCAAAGCTGAGACTAGTTAGGAGACTAATGAATGCTTCATTGGATATTCTTGAGAACAATTCATGTTTACAGAAATGTTTTATGATACTGTAGACATTCAGGTTCTGTGTCCTAGTATATAAAGTCATTTCAGTGTGCTGAAATGAACTTATTTTCAGTTGTGGGGGGAAAAAAAAATTAAACGCTGTGAGAAATGTTGTAAGTTACTAAGCAAAATCAATCTTGCAATATTTGTCGGATATTCAGAACTCTTGATATTATATTTAAGACTTAAGATGCCACCCTAACCCATAAGAATATATTTTACATGATTAAATTCAGCTCACATGAACATTTAACTCACATGTTTATTCATTTTGATGCATTACTTTCATTATTTATTACATTATTTATTTTTTATTACATTATACATATTTTTTATTACAATTAGTGCTGCTGTCAAATCGATTAAATCGCATCTAACATAAAAGTGTGTAAATATATAATATATGTGTGTGTGGGTGTATGTATCACACACACGTACATACACACACATATACTGTGTGTGTATATACACACACTGTATCTGTGTGTGTGTGTGTGTGTGTGTGTGTGTGTGTGTGTGTGTGTGTGTGTGTGTGTGTGTGTGTGTATATATGTATAATCCGGATATATATATACATACACAGTATATATCCGCATTATACACACAGACAGACATATGTATATATTTAAAAACGTTTATGTTAGATGTGATTAATCGCGAATTATAATCTTAATTTCTTGCATTATAAGTTACTGTCCAGCTGGGGGCAGCAGAGATATGAACTAAACTGAAGATAAAGAAAGAAAGTAAATTAACTTTTGAACATAATAAGAACTTTGTTTCTGTTATCATAACAGTCACATTCTCTTGCCATGACGTTATGCAATTATGCACTTCAGGGGTGCAAAACCATAATTGCAACCTTTCTGCAGTATGAGCCCACACACACACCAACATATTCTGAGAGGTCCCAGTTATTCACTCCTGCTGGGCAAATCAAAACATACTAACACATGTCCACTCCAAACTCATGCACATTCAGAGGTGTTCTTGAAGAAGAGAAAAGATGTTTGGAGACTATTAGAGTGGTTGGTAACACTCCTGCTGTCTGTGAGCACAGCTGATAATCGCTCACATATTTATCGGACAGGGCACTGAGAAGAGAGAACATGTCTGATTTGGAAAACGAGATATAAATATTGAAGAACAAGATACAGTGACCATGATATGTGGTTTATCTGTGTGTGAACGGTACAGAATACTGTATTTACACATGTGCATATGGCTTTCTTCAATTACAGGCACATTTATAACCCAGGGGCTGAAGCTGAACAGCTGAACAGATTTCTGTTGCTATTGTAATGCTATTATTATTTATTTTCACTTTTAAATGCAAGATTAAAATGGTATATATTTTATTAAAACAATTATATATACAGTTGTGGTCAGAATGAATGGCACCCCTGGTAAATAAGATAAAAAAAATCTCCAAAACACACTGGTCACAATTATTTGCACCCCTGGAATGTTTTACGAGTAAAATATCTCTGAAGTATATTCTGATTAATATTTACCTTCTTTTTTTTTAGCACATCAGGGTGACTAGGAACATGAAATTGTCTAGCTATGACTTCTTGTTTCACAGGATTTTAAATATGAGGAAACACAAAGGCCAAATTCCCTTAATTATCCATCACAATGAGTAAAACCAAAGAATATAATTCTGATCTGCATCAAAAGATTGTTGACAAAACACAAAATAGAAAGTGGCTGTAAGAAAATAGCTAAAGAATTGAAAATCCCCATTTTGACCATCAGGGCAATAATTAAGAAGTTCCAATCAACTAAAGATGTTACAAATCTGCCAGGAAGAGGACGTGTGTCTATATTGTCTTAATGCACGGTAAGGAGGAACGTTTGAGTGGCCAAAGACTCTCCAAGGATCACAGATGGAGAATTGCAGAGATAGTTGAGTCTTGGGTGTCAGAAAGCCTAAAAAAAATTATCAAACAACCCCTACATCACCACATATTGTTTGGGAGGGTTTCAAGAAAAATCCTCCTCGCTCCTCCAAAAATAAACTCCAGCATATTCAGTTGTCAGACATGGAACTTCAAAAGGGACCGGATTCTATGGTCAGATGAAACTAAAAAAGGGCTTTTTGCCAGCAAACCCACCAGATGTGTTTGGTGTAAACAGGGATAAAAAGTACCCCATGCCTACGGTTAAATATACCGCTGGATCTTATATGTTGTGGGCCTATTTTTTAGCTGGAGGTCCTGGACATCTTGTTCAGATACATGGTATTATGGATTCTAGCAAATACCAACAGATAAAAAACCAAAACCTGACTGCCTCTGCTAGAAATCTTATAATGGGCCGTGGTTGGATCTTCCATCAGGACAACGGTCCAAAACAAACATCAAAATCAACACACAACATATGTTGGGGAGCACAAAATGAAGCTTCTGCCATGACCGTTCCAGTTCCCTGGCCTGATGAGTTTAGTGAACTGAAGAGAAGAAGCACCAACATGGATCTGGGAATCTGAAGGATCTGGAGAGATTCTGAATGGAGGAATGGTCTCTGATCTCTTGTCAGGTGTTCTCCAAACTCATCAGGCATTATAGGAGAAGACTCAGAGCTGTTATCTTGGCAAAAGGAGATTGCAAAAAATATTTAATAAAAGGGTGCCAATATTTGTGGCAAACATTTATTTCATTTCCCCCGCACTTTCAATTATTTTACTTCAATGAAAGGTTCGATTTTTGCTCATTTTTTTAATGAAAGATCAAAAGGATAAACAATGCAGATTTATTTTTTACAGCCATTTTCGCTCATATTTATAAGAGAGGGCAACTCTCTGAGAAAACAAAGGAAATTAACATTTGAACTCTCTCTTCTGAAGTTAGCGTCACCAAGTCTCACCTCAGAATACATCTCTTTCCCTCTTCCCCCACTCCTTCTCTCTCATGCTAAGATCACCAAAATTCACCCAAAAATCTATATGGTTTAAAGTGAATAATTATCATACAGTATTATACAGGTTTGGTATCATTTGAAATGTCTCAGTGCGACTGGTACAAATGTCTCATTCCCAAAGAAGTAAACCAAAAGGTAATAAAGTTCTTAAGAGTTTAGAGATAACTTGCATACAGAGGAGGGTGTGTCTTCCAGGCAAATGGCAAGACCATTTGTATTTTGCATTATGTATTTAATAATGTCAGGTTTGCATCTTCTCTCTTTATTCCAGAACATTTGATGTTTTTTATTTATTATCTTTGAACTGATTATGAAATTGGCATGATACATTTAACTGACATAATAAATTATTACATTTGATTTTATTCCAACTGACTAATTGTTTTCAGAAGTAGATTAAACGGATTCGTATGTTACCGCAAGTTTTGCGTCAGATTAGTGACGACTAATATTTGGCATTAATTCAAGTGTACAGGGTTCGCAAAGACAAAAAGTGAATTTCCGTTTGGAACAGCAAAAATGCTGCTTGACCAACATAAATCTGGGTGTGTCTTACCTGTTTTAATTAAATGTTACTTTAGATAAGTGTACGTGGGAAACCACAGCATGGCCAAACCAAAACTATTATAAGAAAAGTAAAGTTGGTCAACTTATATCTGTAATAGTGGCCATACCTCTACTGAAGTAAACGTTACTTTAATTTCAAGTGTATTCAATCACGGGGGCTATACCAAAGTATCTTTGATTGTGTAAGCGTGAATGCGACCGATGTCATTACTGTCATTAGCTTCACAAGTGCACTTGCTAGAAGAGCTTTAGTAGAGGGCACATGTTATATACAGTACTAGGCCGTTTTGTGGCAGACTTACTGGCCGATGTTCATCATTGTTGTGCACTTGGCTTGCGTGCATGAACTTAAAGCTTTTAACTATTATATAATTGACCAATAACCAGTTGGCAATCTAACCTAAATGCGAGGTCGTGATAAAATGGAGTCAAATATATAATGGTCAGATAAAAGCTTAAATGTTTTGCCACGCGGAAAGACAGTAACACGCAGAGACCTTCACCCGTTCTATTGGATGCCACCATTGGGCCGATCTAGACGGGCTTACAACTGTATATATACATAATTATATATTATATTATAATATATATTGTATTTGTCATGTGTAAGTGTCAATTGGATAAAGGCGTGTAACATAAGCATTTTATTTATTACTACCACCACTAAAGCAAATGAGTCTGCCACTTAATTGTAAAATAGTTTAAAAATGTTATTTCAATCTGCATCAACTATGACAAATGTTTTTTTGTTTTTTTTAGTGGACAAGGAAGCCTTGGAAGATTATTAGGGGAATGATAATCATACTACAGGGTTCAAAGTTCCCAGAAAGCAACTGCACAACCATATAAAACCCAGATGGTACTTGGCAATCCAAAGAATGTCAGAACAAAAGCGGAATGGTTTCCTGAGATCTAAGCGATACAGATCTCTTACAGCCTCAGCAATGATGTCACCCCTCTGTGGGAGCCATGACAACGTGTTCTGGTTTCCCCAGCTGACACTCATAACAAAGAGAGCCTCAGTGTGAGGACAGACCCAAAGAGTCCATCTGAGTCCAAGAGAAGCTCAAAGCTCTACATCGGCAGATTGTTCTTAAACCGTGGCGAGGGTGAAAGACTGTACGAGAAGCCACGAGGGAGAGAGTAGATGGGCGAGATGATTTTTACATCCATCTGCTGGACTTCACAGGGCAGCGAGGATGATGAATAATTTTGCTGCTTCACTCCATTTTGACAACTGACCTCATGCCAGCCTTAAGCCACAGTGTCTAATTGCATTCTCCAGGGATGTGGAGGGTACAGTGTGACTCCCTCCTTGCGGCACACACACACACACACACACACACACACACACACACATACATACATATATATATATATATATGTAAATGTGTGTGTGTGTGTGTGTATGTATACTGTGTATATATATATATATATATATACACTCACCGGCCACTTTATTAGGTACCCCATGCTAGTAACGGGTTGGACCCCCTTTTGCCTTCAGAACTGCCTCAATTCTTCGTGGCATAGATTCAACAAGGTGCTGGAAGCATTCCTCAGGGAGTTTGGTCCATATTGACATGATGGCATCACACAGTTGCCGCAGATTTGTCGGCTGCACATCCATGATGCGAATCTCCCGTTCCACCACATCCCAAAGATGCTCTATTGGGTTGAGATCTGGTGACTGTGGAGGCCATTTTAGTACAGTGAACTCATTGTCATGTTCAAGAAACCAATTTGAAATGATTAGAGCTTTGTGACATGGTGGAAGTAGCCATCAGAGGATGGGTACATGGTGGCCATAAAGGGATGGACATGGTCAGAAACAATGCTCAGGTAGGCCGTGGCATTTAAACGATGCCCAATTGGCACTAAGGGGCCTAAAGTGTGCCAGGAAAACATCCCCCACACCATTACACCACCACCACCAGCCTGCACAGTGGTAACAAGGCATGATGGATCCATGTTCTCATTCTGTTTACGCCAAATTCTGACTCTAACATCTGAATGTCTCAACAGAAATCGAGACTCATCAGACCAGGCAACATTTTTCCAGTCTTCAACTGTTCAATTTTGGTGAGCTCTTGCAAATTGTAGCCTCTTTTTCCTATTTGTAGTGGAGATGAGTGGTACCCGGTGGAGTCTTCTGCTGTTGTAGCCCATCCGCCTCAAGGTTGTGCGTGTTGTGGCTTCACAAATGCTTTGCTGCATACCTCGGTTGTAACGAGTGGTTATTTCAGTCACTGTTGCCCTTCTATCAGCTCGAACCAGTCTGGCCATTCTCCTCTGACCTCTGGCATCAACAAGGCATTTCCGCCCACAGAACCGCCGCTCACTGGATGTTTTTTCTTTTTCGGACCATTCTCTGTAAACCCTAGAGATGGTTGTGCGTGAAAATCCCAGTAGATTAGCAGTTTCTGAAATACTCAGACCAGCCCTTCTGGCACCAACAATCATGCCACGTTCAAAGTCACTCAAATCAACTTTCTTCCCCATACTGATGCTTGGTTTGAACTGCAGGAGATTGTCTTGACCATGTCTACATGCCTAAATGCACTGAGTTGCCGCCATGTGATTGGCTGCTTAGAAATTAAGTGTTAACGAGCAGTTGGACAGGTGTACCTAATAAAGTGGCCGGTGAGTGTATATATATATATATATATATATATATACGTACACAGTATACATACACACACACACACACATATACATATATATATATATATACATACATACACACACACACACACATATATATATATATATACCGGTATATATGTGCATGTGTATGTATTTGTGTATGTATGAATGTACCCTGCTGTTCACAAGTTTTGGATCGGTAAGATTATTAATGTTTTTTAAACATTCTGCTCACCAAGGCTGCATTTATTTGATTAAAATACAAAAAAACAGTAATATTGTGAAATATTATGACAATTTAAAATAACTGTTCTCTATTTTAATATATTTTAAAATGTAATTTATTCCTGTGATCAAAGCTGAATTTTCAGCATCATTACTCCATGCTCAAAAAACATTCATTATTATTATCAATGTTTAAAAAAAAAAAGAAAAAAAAAAGGATTCTTTGATGAATAGAAAGTTCAAAAGAACAGCATTTATTTTAATATAGAATCTTTTGTAACATTATAAATGCCTTTACTGTAACTTTTGATCAATTCATCCTTGATGAATAAAAGTATTGATTTATTTTATTTCTTTCCCCCAAAAAATAAAATTTATTACTGACCCCAAACTTTTGAACGGTAGTCTTTAATGTTACAAAAGCTTTCTATTTCAGATGAATGCTGTTCTTTTGAACTTTCTATTCATCAAAGAATCCTGAAATAAAAATGCAAATAACTATTTTCAACATTGATAATAATGAGAAATCTGGCTCATCCATCTTCCAAAAACTATGTCCAAAGGCAACAAACTAAATTTACTAAATTTGATGTCAGACATCTAAAAAACACTCTAACAAGCTTCTTCTAACAAGCCAAAAATGACCTCCCGTCCCGTCCCACTGGCGGCACAGCAGAGAGCAAAAAGACGGTCTCCTTCATTGAGATTCAGAGTCAAGCTTGCAAGTCATGGGTATTTAACCAGACTAAAAGCCTGCAAATTATTTACACTGTCTGCTTTAACAGGCCTGTGCGTGTACAGAGGGAGCAAGGGATATGAGAAGAAAGCAATTAATATAAAAAGGGAGAGATAGAGAGAGAAACCGACAGTTGATTTAAATTAGCCATCAGTGAGTCATCACTGCGAAGAGTGTATTGACTTCTGAAGATGAATGTCTCAGATAAACTAGCAAAGGAATCTTTGATGAGCTTAGTAAGATTGGGAATGAAACGGCCATATATGCTTGGCCTGCATCAACTGAGATTTGTATGTTTTAAAGATTTAATGATAAAAGACTGAAGGGTACGATTAGACTAGAGAGCTCACTCAGTTTTTCCATGGATTTCCATTGGAAACTCAAGCAGATGTTGATTCTGAAACGGAATTCATTAATTCCATCATTCATCATCTGAGATTAGGCTGATTAAATGGAGTCTCGGTCGAGAAGCATACAGACCTTCTTTGTGTTGAAACCAATCCAGTCTTAAAGAGACAGTTCATTTCAAAATGAAAATTCTGTCATTATTTACTCATTCTCATGTCTTTTTTTATGTATGCTGTTTATCCTCCTGTAGAACACAAAAGATTTGTTTTTCCTACACAGTAACAGTCTGTAAAGCTCCATAAAAGTCTAATAAAAGTGGTCCATATAAAATCTTGCACGATATTACAAATCTTCTGAAACCTACAATAACTTTGTGTGAAAAACAGGCCAAAACTCAAGTTATTATTCCCTGAAAATCTTCCCCTTCCAGTTAGTGGTTAAAGAAATCACAGAGTCATTTGAAAGATTAACAAGCAAATCAGTCCGATTTGTGAATAAATTGTTCTTTCAAACCAGTTCTTTTGAGTGAATGAATTGATCTGGTTCACAAATGAATGAGCCTAAATGATTCTTCATGGATTCAATTATTCTTACTGGATTTCTTTTTGTTATTTTTGTGATCACTATAAACGTTTATTTTATGGAAAAGAGCTGCATGAATATTCTTTGAAATTCTGTTATCCATTAAACGCATATTTCAAACAAACGCAGTTCACCTTTATTCCACAATGTCTGATACACAATGATGAAGTGTTTCACTCATAGTTACAGCAGGGAGAAAACAAAAGAATATGAAGTATCATCAGCAAACCTTGAAATGGCTCAGCAATTTACTGCAGAGCGAGTACTGAACGCAATCAAATCTGTCACTTGATGGTGGATTTGGTGAAGCGATCAATATATTGATTTTGAAGATGTTGAAAATGATAGATTTGAAAATATGTCTGATATGGTGAATATGAGCCGAATGATACAGAATGTCCTGGGAAATGAGCTCTGACAAGAACAGTGATGATGGTGTAAAACATCTGCTCAAACTGAACCCTTCCGTGACAAATATGCTTTATTTTATTCTTCTGTAATTGTTACTCTATTATCAGGAGAGTTTTATATTATCTTGACAGGTAGAGATGCATCAGTGTTAGATATAGATCCGGGTCGCTAAAGACCCGAATATGTAATAATGATTGGCGAAACTTTCATGCACTTGACGGTGAGTAAATAACGACAATTTCTAAGTATTCAAAATCTTTTCTAAAAGTGAGAAGTGTTACCTGTGGATCTGGCCATTTTTGTGGAGGTACTCAAGACCCTGAAGGACCTCTTTCAGCACTGTAGCAATACTGGGTTCATCCAGAACACCGGTCCTGTGTTCCCCCTTTGAAATTATGTGCTTTATCACATCTAACACTGAGCCTGCAACAAGGAGAACACAGAGAGCTGTTAGTAGACATAATGTTGTACTGTCATTAGCTTCACAAGTGCACATGCTAGAAGAGCTTTAGTAGAGGGCACATGTTATATACAGTACTAGGCCGTTTTGTGGCAGACTTACTGGCCGATGTTCATCATTGTTGTGCACTTGGCTTGCGTGCATGACCTTAAAGCTTTTCCAAAAGGTCAGACAAAAATGTCATAATCTACAGTAACTTCCTCTGGCTGCTTCCCAAGAATTTTTGTCTTTTTGTGCTGTTTATATTTACAAAGCTTAACTTGATTATGGGACACCCAACAAACCAATATTGTTTCAACCTTGATGGACAGAAATATGGACACCCAAAGCAAATGTTTTAGGAAAACAATCTGTCAATCATTATTTTTCCCATGATATTTAATTAAGACATAATAAGAGTGAGTCCATGAAGAGAATGTTCCATCAGCAACTTTATCAACCAGTTAGGCCATTTTTTTGAGCTGGAGGACGGCCAGCACCTCCCGCAAACAGCGCAGACAGACAAAAGATCCTGAGGGAGCTGATGTAAACGGCATAAACCAAAAAGTCTGCTGGCCTCCATGTGTCAGGGAACGCTCTGGACGGCCTTGTTTCAGACATCAGTTAGACAAAGACAGAGGTCTGTTCATGCAACCACCCCAGAGTTGCATATGTAATTCCTATCCATGTGAAAAGATGGAGAGAACTAATAGCATATGAAATTTCATCCCACTACCTGAAATGAAAATCTGAGAAAAAGAATTTGGAATTCCCAGAATTCTGATCAAGTCAACTGCCATGGCATCACAGGGTTCTCTTCACTGACGCCGACAGCGGAACTTTAAACCCTCCGGGCGAGAGGAAGTCCAGCAGCGTGCCGTCAGTAGACTAGAGTGGGCGGCTGGCCAGTGTTTGTGTGGGGCAGAGCGACAGTCCAGAGGCACAAGGATATTTAATAGCACAATCACTTTAGGATATTTCTTAAGGATGGAAACATTATATTAATACTCAAAAAACAATTTGTCCATACACACTACCATTAAAAATGTGGGGGTCAGTAAGATTTGTTTAAAGAAATTAATACTTTAATTCAGTAAATATGCATTTAATTGATCAAAAGTGACAGTAGATGCATCCTCAATATTTAATATAAATGCTGTTCTTTTGAGCTTTCTATTCATCAAAGAATGTTGCATTTTTTAAATCAGTTTTCACAAAAATATTTAAGCAGCACAACTTTCAACATTGATAAACATTGATAATAATAAGTAATGTTTATTGAGTACCAAATCAGCATTTGGAGTAATAGCTGCTGAAAATTCATCTTTGCCATCACAGGAATAAATTACATTTTAAAATATATTTAAATAGATAAAAAGTTTTTAAAATGTAGTAATATTTCACCATGTTACTGTTTTTACTGTATTTTTGATCAAATAAATCCAGCGTTGGTGAGCCTAAGAGACTTCTTACAAAAACATTTAAAAACCTCACCAACCCCAAACTTTTGAACAGTAGTTGAATACACTATGATTATGCATTTGGATGAAAATGCTTCGTTATTACTATTTAAGTGAAAAAGTGTGGAAAACATGTCTGCATATCATCTATGCAGGTTGCTCTGTTTGCTCACATTTCTGTACCATTAAATGGCAAATACAAAAATACATGTATGAAAAATACAGATAATTTCACACGGTCCTAAAATATTGTATTTTGAAAAAGTGCAGCATGACTCACCAGGAAAAACTGTGAGATCATAGCCAAGGAAATCAAGGTAGTTTATCACACCCTAGCTCATGGTGAAAGTGATTCGAGAAACAGTAAAATGGCTTATGCGTTATCTTATTTTGGGTTATTTTTTTCTTGTTTCTACAGCTCATTCTTCTTCCGTGGTTTAAAAAGGGTATCGCCGACCTCTAAGTGGCCTGAAGGTTGTTTTATTTAAAAACTCAAATAAGTGAGCAATCGAATGAAAGAAAAACAAGACGGTGAAAGAGTGTGTGTAGGGCATGTGTGTGTGGCATGAAGCCAGCGCACTGCTGACTGAGCGAACAACACATCAAGTTTCACTGACGGCTACGACCTGGATTAAGAGCAGTCAAGCTCCGAGAGAGAGAGAGAGAGAGAGAGAGAGAGAGAGAGAGAGAGAGAGAGAGAGAGAGAGAGAGAGAGAGAGAGAGAGAGAGAGAGAGAGAGAGAGAGAGAGAGAGAGAGAGAGAGAGAGAGAGAGAGAGAGAGAGAGAGAGAGAGAGAGAGAGAGAGAGAGAGAGAGAGAGAGAGAGAGAGAGAGAGAGAGAGAGAGAGAGAGAGAGAGAGAGAGAGAGAGAGAGAGAGAGAGAGAGAGAGAGAGATCCTGGTAAATTATGCTACATTAGTTTACAAACCCATGTGAGATTGATGGGTGAGGCTGCTGAGTGAAATCAGCTACATTATTAGCGTCAAACATACACAGGGAGGGCCAGAGAGCAGGAGAGATAAAAATGTAGTAATTTCCAACAACTCACCTCAATATCTTGAGCTCTATGGTTAAAAGTTCAAATAACTTTAAAGGGATTCTCCACCCAAAAATGAAAATTCTGTCATCATTTACTCAAACTCATACAGGTTTGCAACAACTTGAGGGTCTTTCTTCTGCTGAACACAAAGGAAGATATTTTGAAGAACGATTGGAACCAAACAGTTGTTTGGCACCATTGACTTCCATAGTAGAAAAAAAAATACTATGGAAGTCAATGGTGCCAAAGTTCCAATCGTTTTCCAAAATATCTTCCTTTGTGTCATCAGAAGAAAGAAACTCATACAGGTTTGCAACAACTTGAGGGTGAGTAAATGATGACAGAATTTTCATTTTTGGGTGGAGTATCCCTTTAAGACAGTGTTCCACAAAAATAAAATTGTGACATCATTTATTCATCCTCATGTTCTAAACTTTACGAGTCTCTTCAGTGGAACACAAAAGGAGATAGTACGCAGAATGTTTAAGCTGCTTTTTTCCATACCATTCCATAAAGTGTGGTGTACGTTCTCACACTACAAAAACAACAACAAAAGGCACCATAAAAGCTATATGGAAATAGTCAGTGATTTGTGGGCTGAAGGATTTCCTTCTGAAGCCACTGACAACTTTGAAATATAGCGCACAAGTTGTATGGATCCCTTTTTTTGTCATTTTTGGAGTTTGACTTCTGGTCACCATTAACTTTGATTGAATGGAAAAGAGCAGCGTGAACATTCTGCTTTATATCGCCTTTTGTGTTTCACAGAAGAAAGTGATACGGTTTGGAACTATATGAGGGAGAGTAAATGATGACGTGATTTTTATTCTTGTCTTTAAATTAACAATCCCATTAAAGAAAATCATATTGGATTAAGAGCAATATAAATGACAAAAAACATTTATTTTTTTGTATGAACTAATCCTTTAATTATGAATATAAGGGGAGGTGGGATCCCAAGAATGTTCATCCTGGAACGCCTCAATCGTGTGAAGCCCCATGCTGAGGTGTAATGGAGATGTAACTGTAAACGCTTCTCATTTCATTAAATACTACACAAATGGCTTTATGTCTTGTTCACATGAGCCAAACTCCCATTCCTAATGCTCTTGAAAGTAACACTAACCATGACCATGTGGTGCAAAAGCATTCTTGATATTCTCTCATGACACTTTGAGGAAAAGCATCACCAGGAAATCTCCCCAACGCCCTTTCTGTAATTTCAATTATGTTTCAGCAACAGGAAAAGAAAATGACTCTTTGTCCAACAGTTGTCAGACTATCTGACACTGCTGCCTTCCTAAGGATCCTGCATTGGTGTGGGTGGAACATGCCATGTCGTGCCCACTGGGCCAAAGGGCACAGGGCCATACGGGGCTGCTTGTGAGGGAAAGATTACTCTAAGAAAATAAGGGTGGCGGAGCAGAGGGAATAAAAGGAAGATAGGAAGCATCTGTTGTCTCTCAGTGGGCTGAGTCTCACTACAGGCACAGTGCCATATTTCAAAACATTGTGCTTAAAACCTACAAGACAGCGACAGCTTAAAATATTATTGCACCAAAAATTTCAATGGCTCTGGGTAATCTGTTTACGGGATGAAAAAAAAAATCCACATTCATGAATGTAGTACTGAGTTTATATTGAAATTCCTGATAGTATGCGTGTATGTTTGTACTTATATGTGCGTGTATAATATGCTAAGTCTCCAAAATTTGATCTGCTTAAGTGGATTGTTCATCTTGACCCTGTGAGACAGTCATTACATTTAGTATTGAATGGACATCATTTGGGTCATTCAATAAAAAGAGTACTTTTTCCAGGCTGAATAGGAGATTTCTGAAGTCATTCTTTTATATTTTACATAAATGAATTGAAATACATAATTGTATGTACATTTAAATATAAATTTTAATATATGATAGGATGCAATAAAGTCATTGGATTTTTGCTGATTTGTAGACATTTTTTATGTCTATATCACTATGTGAGAAGAGTTTTTTGTCATTTGAATATATTAAATAAAATGTTTAAGCATACATTGAATCCTATTCTATTCTATTATTTGAAAAAATAATTCATTTTAATATATAAAACAATACAAAATCAAATATAATATAATAAAAGTTATTGGATGTTTGTTGATGTGTAGAAAATGTCTACTACTTCAGCTACTCCACCTTTTACTATATGATAATAGACTTTTTTTCTGTTTTTGCACATGTACACAAATGGCACCGGTTTTGTAGAATGACACCAAAGAATATATTTTGAGGAATGTTTGAACTGTTTTTGTCCATACAATGGAAGTCAATAGGGTCCAAAACAACACTGATTGGACCCCATTGACTTTCATTTTATGGACAAAAAAAAACCCTCTTCAAAAATGTTTAGTTTTTGTGTTCCACAGAAGAAAGAAAGTCAGTTTGGAATCACATGAGGATGAGTAAATGATGCCAATTTTCATTTCTAACTTAACTATCCTTTTAAGACCCCTACCCTTTTGTACACAATAAAAACACAGCAGTTTCTGTTATGTTTAAACTAGCTGCCTGCCCCACAGCTTTGAGACCTGTCCTACCTTCATACTTAAGATGGGCTGTGTGCCACCTGGGCATCTTCAGCTGGCAGAAGCAGGAGGAGGAGGGCACAACAGCTGTTGACAGGCGTAAAATGAACTGCGATTATCCAGACAGAGTGATTTCAGCTCTGCACCGGGGGAAGAAAGGCCGCGTCCCACGGCTGTCAGTGTCAGCATGAGCCACACTATAATCTCCCTGTCCAGCACTTGGCTGCGTCTGGGACAGAGCATTACACGCTGGCTTGAAACATATCATCAAACTCTCAGCAGTAGCTTTACACAATGGGGTTTGGAAAGACAGGAACACTACCGGAGCTTAAGGACGCAATGCAATCAAGAAGCAAAACGGGCTGTTTAAAACTAAAATAAATAAAACCAGGGCTGCACGATATTATAAAAAAAACGGACATAGCAATATTCTGTTTTTCTGCAATATATATATTGGGATATGAAAAGATGCAGGAATTTTCCCCTGATGACATGAACAGCCATATTTGGAAAAAATGTATCATTCTCGAGTGAGTGGGATGGATTTTTTGGGGAGTGCATCAACATAATAACTAATAATAAATAATAATAATAACTTTTTCTGAGGACTTTATTTGAGTGTGAAATCCTTGTAGGGCTGAACGATTTGGAAAAAACTTAAAAATTGGGGAAATTGTTCATAAATGGGTTTACTTTTTACAAGAATCAACACACTTATTTCAGTAAAAAAAAAAAAAAAAAAACTGTTTAAAAAAAACGTTTTCATAGGCCACATTCCCACTGTTGACCAATTCAATATATACTTCAATATGTGAAGTTATGATTTTATTGTGACTATTATTTTAAAAAAAATTATTAAACAAAATCAGGAATAAAATTGTAATATTATTATATTTTAAAATAAATAAAATCTGGTACTTTTTTTTATTTTACTGTAAAATTACAATACTAATATTTACGTCTTAATTTCTTCATTTTTAAACAAGCTTTTATTTTTACGGTTTGCTGAATAAAAATATGAGCTGTCAAGTTTCAGAATGAAGCTGAAACACTCACTGTATAATAAACTACGCACGTGTAAATGCCGCTTCACTCTGAAAACAGCAAAGCAAATTTTTTTTTAACCAAATCGTACCCTGTGCAATTTGACAATCGCACTAAGACATATTTTATTTCGATATAACGTGCAGCCCTAAATAAAACTATTTCAGCAACTTCACAGCTGAAAAAAGATGACAAATTCTGATCTGTTTGCATAACTTAATGTGCCAAGATATGCTTGTGCATGTCTTAGGATAGTTAAAATTCCTCAAAAGCCAGACTGGCAAGATTGTCAGAAGATATCCGTGCCGGACACAATTCGTAATGCAATAATGTTGTAAGATATGGTGTGAGTCTCAGGCTGCTGCACTAATGCATCTGCTGTAATTAACAGCGGCCTCTGATTAACTCCGTAGGGGAGCTCCTGGAAAACTCTATTAGCATTCTAACGGCTCATTTGAGATCCCAATATAGCACTCAAAAACTGAAATACAAACGCATACATTTATTTCTACTACCAAGAGAAACCATCAATATATCTCAGCAAGACTTAATTTAGTGTGTCAAACAGTATTTGATAGATGAATGACCAAATAAACACTACTGTTCAAACTTTGGTGTCAGTAAGATATTGTTTTGAAGTGAAATTAATAGTTTTATTCAGCAAGGAAGCATTCAATTAATTAAAAGTGACAGCAAAGACATTTATAATGTTACAAAAAAAATCCTATTTAAATTTTTTTTTAAAAAGCTCATTTGAACATTATATTCATTAAAGAAACCTGAAACAAAAAGTATGACGGTTTCCACAAAAATAATAATCAGCACTACTGTTTTCAACATTGATAATAAGAAATGTTTCTGGAGCACCAAATCACCATATTAAAAGGAGTTTTGAAGGATCATATGACAGCAAATTCAGCATTGCCATGACAGGAATAAATTACATTTTAAAATAACAGTTATTTTAAATTGTAGTCATATTTGACTATTTTTTAATCAAATAAATGCAGCCTTGGTGAGTATAAAATACTTTCTTTTTTTTTACCGTACCAACCCAGAACTTTTGAACTGTGGTGTATGATGTTGGTGAATTGCATATATTCATAGCAGCTTTCTTATAGGCTTTTAAAGAAGATTAATTATATATTTTTTTGTTTGTTTCTTAATCATTTTTCTTTCTAGAACAGCAAGTTTATTGGATATTATATCTCCTCCACAGAAATGATCAGGTAGCTATGATAACGGATATGTGTTTTTCCACAAGACATCATATGGTCATGTCTAATGATGACCTACACCAAAAAAATATATTTGTTAACTACAGTGCTTCTTTTTCTATAAAAATGAAAACTTGATTTACATTTTTTTTTTTACTTCTCTCAAAGCTCCTTCAGATGCTGCCATCAAAAATCAACCAAATCAAGTCCTGTCAGTACACAGGATGTTGCATCAAAATTGGAATCGACATAACTGAATGGCTTTTTTCAGTGCTTGGATGCAACCAACTGGAAATTAAGTGATTGGAGGAAAAAGGACAGGTGGGCAGGACTTACCACCACTGAGCAGCTTCATGACCAACCACAGCTCATCCTTCACCACAAACGACGTGTAGTACGACACAATGTTGGGATGGTGACACTGGCTCATCGCCTGAATCTCTTTCTAGAGAGAGAGGGGAAATAACCACAGTTAACCTGATTCAACCAATTTCCTTTCTAAATAATTCACAAATTGGATGAAACAACCAATCTGATTCCTTCAAGGCATCTGCAGGCTTTTTAAAATCAAATTGAAGGCTTTTAAAGTCCCTGTAAAGTCAAAATTTTGTATGTGTTCTGAGTTTGTCACATCACAGAAAAATGTGTTATTAGCCACCCTGCCAAATTTGAATGATAAAAAAAGCCAGCAAGTACATAAAATAAGCTATCAAAATCTTGAAAAAATGAGCAGTAGTCTCTGCTCTCAAACGCTGGGGGCGTGTCCGCTGGCTGCGCTGAAACCACGCCCACTCGCGGGAAAGCTGCCGTCGCCACACTCAACTCTACAGCCGGAATAGATGCTCGCACGGTGGGCACGCACTGCCGATGATGGCACCAGTTGTCGGCGCGACGGGAGGATGAATGCCGAGGCGGGAGAACAACGGATTATCAGTGAATGTCTCAGTTGTCTACGAACTATCCCGTGTAAAATGATCACTTACAGAGGCGGGTTTTGGCAGTGATCCTCAGCTCTCCATCAAGGTTGGCTCTTCACAAAATTAATCCACTTCTTCTTGATGTAATCGTTTTTCGGAAATTTAAATAAGGACACCGATCTGTTTTGTATGTGATCCGGTGATCGCATCCAGGTAGTAGGCCTACGCATTTCCGTGACGAAGGCATAGCTAGCTAGCAATCTGTAGGCTGCTGTATTAACTAATAGTACAGACCGTAACTCAGATTGAGTGGCAAAACTGATGTGAATGTGCTCTATATTGTTAGGGGAGCGGACAGCCTCAGTGGCTCCAGTGCGTCATCAAGTAGGGGCGTGTCCAGGAGCTCAGGGGCTCCAGTGCGTCATCGAGCCCCGTTTTAGCCCAGCCCAAAAAATCCGGAAAATTGCAATGGTGAAAAACTGTTTAACGGTCTAACTCTACAATTCAGTACTTCACAGTTCACAGTCTTTGTAATATGTTTTAGCAATACATTTCTAACATTTATAATGTGTTTAGAATTTTTTTTTTAAATTGCCTTTACAGGGACTTTAAGGTTAAGGCAACATCCTAAACCATAAACTGACTAAAAATGTTAACAACTTTGCCATTCAAATAATACAAGTTTTGAAAAAAACAAGTTTTATAAAATTATAAACATCACATTTCAGCCTTTAAACCATTTTTTAAGAAAAGGGAGGAATTAAAATGATAAATGGACTCATATAAAATATGATTATACATATTATTCTAGAACCGTATTATTCTACATTTTTTGAATGCACATTAGCTTCTTGTTGATCCACCGGTAGAATTTTATTTTACAGTCATGTTTCACATGTACTGTATACTTATTGTAGTAATTACAATAACTGGGTAATAACTAGGTACTAACCCTGAACCTACCCCTAAACCTAGCATTAACCCAAGTAGTTACCTTACTGTATATTATTCAGTACTATCTTGGCAGTGCACGTACTGCTAAATAAAGTGCAACCGATCCACCTGTTAACAATGCAACACTGTGTGGAAGATGTGTAAAATTATGAGTTGATTTTTACATTGATCTAAACAAAATGGAAGACGTGCTGAAAGAAAATGCAAATACAGTAGATAGACAGTAGACAGCGATGATGGAAGAGCAGAAAAATAGTGGTTTCTCCGGTTACCTCTGTAAACAAAGTAGCTCTGTTTTATTAGGAATTCTATGGAGGTAATAATATGGAGGGAAAAAAAATGCCATCAAAACTTTCCTTGCCGAAAGAGTTTGCAGGTATGACTGATATAAACACAAACAGCCATTTCATCAAATCATTTTATTTAATCAAATTGTAGCCTTTTGAAGTTTATTACATTAAGCCATATTGCGATTCCTGGTTTTCCATCCCGACATTTAAGACATCTAGAAATAATAATCAATCAAGTCTTTTATTAAATTTGGTGTCATAAAATTGATAAAACTAAATTTAAGACTTAAGGACCCGCGGAGACCCTGTTCTTTAAAAAGACAGCGTTAAACACTGGAATCAGTTCATGTGCTTGTCGCAGACTGAAGCAGCTCAATAAGGCATTTACTGTGTATACATACAGTCACATAGTATGTGGTCCAGAATGCACTGGGCCTCATGGCTTAACCGAATAACTGAGGTGCCTCACAATGGTGCCATTCCAGATCTGGATTAATGTTTAAACAAGTCTAGCTCAGTTGCACAGTTGGCAAATCTTCAGGTTCAGTGCAGATATTTACGTACTTCAGGTGAACTAGTAGTTTTTATTAGCTCACTCGTATATGAAGCACCTCCAGCCACTTTCACCGACCGCAAAGCACGCACAAACTGTAAAAATAAACAACATCAATCCAAGAGTGCTATAAACACCACGACACCTTCACCTGACTGCCTTACAGCCTGTTCCAAATAACCACGATGTCCAAATAAATAGGTGTGTATGTGGTTACTGTCAATATTCATCAGCAAAACAGGGATGCTAGATGGATTTTTTTTTAGCAATCGAAGACAGAAGGAAAAACAAGTCGTTTTTCTCTATCCCCTGTTTATTTGCTAGTCTTTCTATTTGACGGAGCAGTTAAAGTGAAACTCTTGCAGCTCGGAGAGACTGACAGCTGAGGTAATGTTGGCACTGCGCCCGAATCCATCACTCTGAGTGAGTTCTCCCCAAGTCATTTGATGGTGGGGGCTTACTAATGATATTATAAAGCAATTCTGCCACTTCTTTTTAGCTGTCAGGCCTAGTCTTGTTCAATTTGTTACATGCATGCCAAAGCAATCAATAAAATAAAATAAAAATTGCAGGCTTGATGCTAATGAATGAGTATATACTTGTTCATTCCACAATGCAGAGCTTCATAATAGTCTAATGCTGCTTTGTTAATATTAAACTGAATGGGGACCTGAGCTTTCAAGCTATTCTATTTTATAAAATAAAAAAATAAACATTTATTTTGAAAACAACTTTTTTACATGGATGAATTTCTTTACATTATTCGGTTTTACATTTCAACTTACTTTAGTGTGTAATGTTGCTGTTTGAACATGAAAAGATCTGCAGTTACAAAGCACAAAGTCCACTACAAAGGGAGATATATCAGTAAGCCCTGTTTCTGAACTCCCTGAAACTGTAGTCTGGAGTTTTCTTCTAGTACACGTCACAATATTCATCATTTAAATAATTCCCACCCAAGGCATACGCAAAAAAAGGGGCGAGATCTGGTTGAGTTGCATTAGTCAAAACTTGAGTTGGAAAACTCGCGATTATGGTAAGGGGAGTGACATTTCAGAAACAATCTCAAAGCGGTTGACCAATCACAAGAAACCAGTCCAGCCAACCAATCAGAGCACAGGGGCTTCATAGAGACAGGAACTAAACAGATCGTTACTGTCAGACTGGAAAAAGAGGTGCTGCAATAAAGTAAAATATGTGAAAAATAATGTATTTTGAACATTCAAGAATGAAAACCTATTCTAGTTGGTCCTCTTTAAGTCAGGTGTAAATCAGCCAAATTTTAACAGTCTTTTGAAATCACTACTCGATAGTCCCAACACTACAGGAAAGACAGAAATGGCAGAAACTCAAGTAGATCAGCATAACTCAACTAAACCTGTTCTAAAGTCTGCATACAATTTACACAAACACTTCCGTCTTAAATTAACTATAGTTTGAATGCAAGTTTGGTAATGAAATGTAGCAAAAATACAGCCATTCTGTAATTAAGTGCACCACTTTGCTTCAAGTAAAGGGTCGGGTTGCAGTCCCCTCCAATATAAAAAATGAATAAGAAAACAGGCCATTTCAAGTTCCTGAAAAACAACTCATGGCAGTTGAACTTTCCAAGTTGAATCCTCAAATGACCCCATGAACATGAGCCATGTTCTCCACTGACCCAAAAAATTAATTTACAAGTGCAATCATGTATACCAGTCAAGACAAAGCTCTTCCCGTGCCAACACTGTAGGGTCACTGACACCCCAACAGTGGGCCACTGGGTATGTCCCACCCCTCTGTCCCAAAGCTGGATTTCATTCAACAATTTAGTCAGCTTTGGCTGGCTCCACAAAGGCGGTGTCCAGTTCCACGATAGACACCAGTTTGAGGGCGTATGAAAACAATAACGCACTGGACGGTCTTTGGACATTCAATGGCTAGTGCTCCATCTGCATTCTCACAGTAGTAGCCGAGGGTCATCTCAGCGTGGCTGGCCGATGTCTACCCGAGAGAGACAAAAACAATAGCCTGAGCAGGGAGGGTGACATCAAGAGACTGTTTGCCACCCGATTCGTGTACGTCCAGAGGACAATGAGCAAAGAAAAGCACTGAGACTCTTTGTCTGCGCTTATGTCACTGCCTTTCTGCCACTACACCCAGTGGAAAAAAAACAACACTTTCCTTCTTCCTCAGGGCAAATTTCTCACTTTATATATGCTGTTCTTCATTATACATTTATATTTGCATTAAATTTATGTTAAAGCCTGGGGTAAACATTTGTCAATTTGTTTATTAATTTAAAATCTTATGCATCGAAACTATCCACACATCTATGTGCATTTTCTTAAACATATTCACTTAACATATAACACCCCCCCCCCCCCCCCCCCACACACACACACACACACACACACACACACACACACACACACACTCTCACACTCTCTCTCTCTCAACAAGCTCCTTTTTCATTAACTCGAAAATCAGATACAAACAGATCAGCAGGATATTTAGCTGATTCACTTTCAGAAAAGCACAACATATCCTTTAAGATCCGTAAAAGGAAAATCGCTCTCCAGAATTTCATCAAAATACTATCTCATTTACATAAATTTCAGATATCTTAATTGATAAAAAAGGGATGCGAAAAACAAAAAACATATTGACTATTGACAAGTATTACAATTACATCTCATACTGCTGCTGTTTAGTAAAATAAAAATGATCTGATACTTAATAATAATAATAAGCATTTTGTCCAGTTGCATAAACTGAAGAAGACCTTTGACTATAATTGCAATTAAATAATTGAATAAATATTTATGATAAACATTTAACATTTCGTACAGCTTCTGTATATTAATATAAAAATAATATAGCCTAATACAGAATAATAATGACCACAACAACTATTACTATTTTTTAACAGTAATACTAATACTACCAATTATAATAATAATAATAATAAATATAATAATCCTGAATATTAAAATTATTATACAACAGTAATATTTAGCATTTGGTCCAGTTGCATAAAACTGAATTAAGGCATTTGACCATATTTCAATTTCAATTTTCAACGTAATTTTGATTAACATTTAACAAATGATTATGATATACATTTAACATAATATCGTACTGCTTCAGTATAGTAATATAAAAATAATATAATACTGAATAGTAATATAATAACTGTGTAGCCCAAACCATCATATATTTCAAAAGTCGGACATCTTTGAAAATGTAGTTTGAATATATTGTATATATGACAGCTAATCTATCTAGGAGAAATGCAGCACATTTAACCACCGTCATCTGATGGACAATTGGCAGACACTGAAGTCATGTGATTTCAGAAGTCCTTGTCAAGTCCCCGTAGAATAAACGCTGCAGTGGTACACAGTGGGTTCACTATAGATTCAGCTTGACGTCAACGGCACTGACAGGATCTCAGCTCAGTCAGAGAGGAAAATTGTTCCTCCCACCACAACAGTCACACAGCTTCTGCGTTGTGACTTGTTTGGATTGCCCTGTTCTTTTTCGCTGCTCCTGCATGTTGGGAAGAACTAAAGCATGCTATACTCCAGCAAATTGGCCTGATCATAAGTAAAATTGACCCAAACCTCGAAGGAATTTCCTCCGAGTGCAGTCCTTGATGCAGATTACATGCAATAGCCGCCTGCTGCTCTCGCTCATTACGGGAGCAATCTGGCTTTAATTTAATGCCTCCTCTGAGTTTAAGAGAGCGCTCAGCATATCATAACGGCAAAGAAAGCATCAGAGGAAACCTGAACTGCATATTTTCCCTCTGACCCTAACTCTACAAAAATCTCCTGTTAGCTTTCACCCAAGTCATTCCCAAGGGTTTACTTCAGTTCAGCTGGAAGAAAGTCTCCATTTACAGACTTTTTTTCTGAAATCAATGAGGGCAGGACTAGGGATAACATCTCTAACGACTTCTAACTCCTCTGTAAGACACCTGGATATGGGAAAAACTGAGATTCTGGTAGCCTCCCGCAGAGAGCTTGTAAATCAGGAATATGAGCTTTCCCAGTGAACGACGAAATCGGCTCCGCCTGGTCACGAGGAAAAGTATGACCTTTTGAGCTCCTTGAGGAGTTGACAGATGAAATTAATAAGATGGGAAGGGGAAAGGATGTGTGTAAAAAACTTTAGGACTCGTGTATGGAAACTTGAACTTGACAAGGGTGTACAAAAACTGGGAAACTTTCAAAAGAAATTGGTGTTTTAAGGGATTTTCAGACCTGTAAATCTTTTGCTTTGTTCCGAAACAAGGACTTAATGTTGCCATTTCTTCTTGGATCGGTTCGCTTTCACAAGTCAACATGTCAAAGCATATCAAAATGTGTTTATGCAAGTCACATGCGAGTAAAACTGTTGTCTTATTGGTCAGAGTTCACTTGTTTACGTTCCTTTGCGTCATCCGTTTCTCTCTCACCTCAACCGAACCGCTCCAGAGTTTGCCTTCAATCAGGTTGAGACAACCTCGTTCAGGCGATCTCGGAGCGATTGTTTTGGTGCGGATCTGAGCATGATTGCTGTGTTCATATATGCCTCAATGAACCGACCTAAAAAGAAAATGCACCAGGTTCCGAAACAAACACTCCAAATGAGCCAGGTGTGAAAACGCCCTTGGAACTGGAAGATTCTTTAAGTTCTTTAATGACTGGGATGAAGTCTTAAATTAGTCAATGTTGTGATTCACACAGAAGTTGCAAGGGGAAAATTCTGACTAGGAAATAAAAACTCTGTCATAAAACTGGAAAACAACACAGGGATTCCCTTTGGTCCAGTTAATAATGGTTTCCAGGCAATCTGGAAATGTTAGAATCCATGTGTTAGCTCTTTTCCTCACATGAAATATTTCTGATTCTCATTTCAATTTCACATAAGGAAGTTTTTATAATAATAACAACGTTATAATAATACATTTTAATGACTTTAGTTTTTACTCGTTTTTTGGAAATATAAACATTTAAATGGTGGCTGTCATAAAAACAGATTTATTTAAAAATACATTAAATATTGAACAGGTTAAGTAAAAATTAAATGATATGCAGTGCATCTCTTGGTTAAATTATTTTAGCAGACCAACATGTTTTGAATGTTTTTTCTAAGGTAAATGTAACATTGTTTACAAGCTCTTTCCATCTTTCGGCTGTTTAAACGCTGATTGAGATTTCTGATACAGATTTCTGTAAGTTGTACTGTATCTTTCTGATGCTCATTCATGTTTATATTTCAAGCTGTAATTAGTAGTAAAGCGGATAGGATAATCAGTTCATGTGCCGCTTGAACTGAGGCGCCACAACAATCTGTCACGACACATTAAAGAGCGCCAAAGCAGTATTTATTGTTTGAATTTCACAACAAAATCTACAGAATTTGAAAGCTAAGACTTTGTTTTATATCAGAAGCCACAAAGCTTATTGCGATTTATTGGATGAGAGATTCATCAACTGAAAACAGCATAGACTGAAAGATCAATTATTGGGATTTAATCGATACTGGTTCTTCAAAATGAGAATGGATTAAAATCGAGAAATCAATATTTTTAACTATGTCAGGCAGAAACCTTGTATCTCCAAAAATGCTCATTTTCAGGAAATGGAAATAAAACCCTGTATTTCAAACACTGCGCTGTGAAAGTTGATAGTGTGGCTTTATATGTGGTCAGACACTTGCATGTGTCATTATTTTATTAACATTTTAACGAAATCAAGCTCAAATGGAGTTACAAGGTTTCACCAACTTACAGGTTATAAAGTTTACTCGAGCTATGTGGGCGCTCAGTTTTTTTCTGTCATTTGGCCCAAAAAAAGCCCATGTTATTAAAGACGAAGTGCTACGGACAGGCTATTTAAGATAAAACTGGCTATAGGACAAATGCTAGACTAAGACACTCTTCTCTGCTCCTCAAAAAATACATAAAGCATTAGCATATATATATATATATATATATATATATAGTGTTTATTGAGTAAAGAAAACACTATTTATTCAAAGAACCAGTTCTTTATTTACCCTTGCATTGCAAACAAGCAGAGACGGTCCAAAAATATGTGCAGCACTGAATTCACGAGGCGGGGCGGATTAGGTTTTACCGACAGTTTGAGGATCCAATGGAGTTACGAGGTTTAGTCACACAAGCTCTTTTTAATATGTTTCATTGGTTAGATAATTGCAAAACCCACAGACAGATGTAAAGGGTAACCCGATAGTAATGATTTATGAAAAAATAAATAAATGGAGATACAAGGTTTCTACCCAAAGCGACGATATGTAAAAATCTGTTCCCATTGCCCAAAGACATGTAGCCTACTGAATGTTGATACGCTGTGTCCATACATTACAATCAGTCCTGTATGGTCATTATTCACTGTCAGCTCATAAAAGGTGTTGGCATTTATGAGCCATGACTTATTGAGAGGTATTTCTCATATGCAGCCTTTAAATGTTCCAAAGATGGGATCATGCCCAACAGGTTTCATACATTTAAGCAGAACATGTGAAACTCCCATAAATGTCTCTAACCGTAAGTCGACATGAAATGGAATTCACAACCCATGTTACTTCCATTCATGCGTTTGTATCTTCAAACGCAACAAACTAAACAACAACAGGTGCCATTTAAGTATGTGGTAACAAGTTCAATACCAGGAGCTCATCCATGCTTGTCTGACATTTTTCCAGATTGATGCGTTTGATGGCGACCTTCTCCTTCCTGGGCACACAGTAGGCAGCCTGGACCACAGCTGTAGCGCCACTCCCTGAAACACACAAGAACGCATGTTAAACTCAGAACATCAGGAGCTGCATGGGACATAAAGTCGTGACAGATAGGAGAATGAAGAGGAGAAACTGACTGTTAGGTTAAACATTACACATAAAGCGTGACACTATATATTAGGTCTGGGTAAAAAATATCAATTTCTCGATTTTAATCGATCGCTACCGAAATCCGTATCGTGTCTCGTCAATCGCTCAGTGTTTCAACCGCGAAAGACGTCAATAAAACAGCTAGTAAGAAATATGTCATGTAATGTCACATTTAGGCCTACCTCAGAAAAACCATATTCAGTGACCATAAACTCGATAGTCAGCTAGAAAAATTAACTCTAGACTAGAGAGGAGCATTTTGCTGAATATGTGCACCATATTCACTACAATTTTAAATGTTCTTCAATATTTAATGCATGTCAAGTTATGACAAACAACAGTTAAATGTTTATATGTCAAAAAATTAATTGGAATAGAAATATAATTATGTGATTGTAAAGTTAGTATTATAACTATTATTATAAAACTTCCTTGAGTGTAATTTAAGTGTTTGCAGACAAATCAGTTAATTTGAACCTTCAATATTATAGTAATGTTGTACCAACTGACTCCCTGTATAGTTTACAGCATAAGTTGAGTTTTTTTTTCCTTGAGAAAATTTGCCATGTACTGTACCTGATATATATCCAAATAACATTTTAATTAACTGAAGATCTGTCAAATTTAAGAATATAAACTTTAATGGGATTATAACAATAACTTAACAATTTACTTCAAGTGCAAAATAAACTTAGTGGGGAAAAAATTAACTGACAGCTCTTATTCAAACCGAGATCAAAAAGCTGATATCAACAGAAACTTCACTAAATATTATATACATTACAACACTATATTAAAGGCACGGCTAAATGTGGCATGTATTTTATTGGGTTTATGTGAAGTTTAAGTTCACTTAAATTAAAAATTGTTATATTTATAAGCCTATATTAAATATTGGCTTTCATTTCATAATTATACCACGGCCTGTTTAAATACTCGATTCTGATTGGCTGGAAGGTGTGCAGTAAAACCGTTTAATGCACAGGTAGTTCCAGTCAGTTTGATTACAGTTCGAAATTAATCCGCTACTATAAACATTGGTAACCATAGTAACAGAGTTACACTTGCAAAAGAGTGAGAGAGAGACACATATGAAAACGTTAGGTAGGCTCAGAGCCATAGAGAGAAAGAGTTACGACGCTCTCGGATGTCGCCGCGATGGCTGTCACGTGGTTCATGTAAGCCCCAATAGTTCCAAAACATACGCGGCTGTCATGTTCTTCTATGGGACAGACAGCAGCGATTGCATTATTGACCGGTAAATATAAAATAAAACACACACCCAAGTACTTTTTCAGCTGTTACTGCATTATTGCATTTTGTTAATGTCAGTTTTGCATTTGGAGAGGCAGGCTGACAACGAAATAGCCTACTACTGTATATTACTTAGATAGCCTACGTTTTAGGCTTTTTTTTTTTTTGAGGGAAAATACAGAGCTAGATAAGATCGAAGACGACAAAGATGAGGTCAATACGAAAAAGACAACTAAATGGGCAGTTAACACTTTCAGTGACTTGTTGCGCCAAAGACAGAACAATTGTGATTTCGAGACATACTCTGCGTCTCTTTTAAATGAGACATTGCGGGAGTTTTATGCCTCTTCAGTCTACCGCTGGACGCGAATACAGTGTTGCAAGTTTGATGTGTCTCAGAGCAGGTATAAACCGTCACGTTACAAAATACAACATCATAAGGGATAAAGACTTCAAGTCAAGCAATGCCGTATTGGTATCACGAGCCTTCACTCATAGTACTTAGTAAAAAAAAAGATGCCATTAAACCTGCATTTAAAATAAACACCAACTTTATTTTGTTTCTACATTAATTTGGAGATTCAATGTAAAAATATGTATTAAAATCTAAAAATATAATTTTAATGTTAGGTGAATTCTAAACAGAAAAATGTGTGATTAGGTTGTTTTTTTCTGACAGCACTAAAATATATATATTTTTAAATCATTCATTACAAATAAATTAATTTAAAACTAATAAAATATTAATCAAAATAATATTTAAAATTGTCACCAATGCTGCACCAATGCATATTTTGTCATTTTAAAATTGTTATACTTTTTTGTTGTATGAATGACAAATGATTATTACCGTCAAAAAGCAGGAATACAATAATGATTGGTTCTGCATATTGGTTATGAGACATTTTACAAAGATCATTGCTCATTAAAAACAATAACATCTATCTCTAGCCATGACACTTACTCCCTGGGAAAGTGTTAAAGAAAAGCTGACAGCTAAATGCTAAATCAAAACATTCCTCTGTCACTGCAGCATTGGACATTTATTCGAGAAGACTATTAAATCCTAACAGACTATAAGTCGAAGGATTTGAGCGCTATACTTGGCTTTCAACTTTACTGCAGAGGTTAATCTCCAGAGTGCTTTAATGAGGTTCTGCTCATGGCACCACAGACTGGCACAGGAGAGAAAGCAGACAAGACACTTCTGGAGACCGTTATCCTTGAGAACGCAAGGTTGTCCTAGTCCGCACACCCTGAATAATAGAAGACAAGACTCTACGGGGGCCCAAGACCCTCGTAAATCAGCAAGCACCTATGTTTCCACTGCGAGCTGAATATAAATGACATATTATTATGCTGGTATGAGGCAGAGGGAATTGTTTTAATCATCTTTAATCAACTACTCAAACTCCATATGGCCTAATAATAACAAAAACCTCATTGTTTAGCATTTTGATTGCACCAGCAGGGCACCATGGATTAGGGGATCAAATCTGACAACAATTCTCATTTTCTGAACTGAACTGGTTTGACTAGTTTGTGTACAGCCAAACACAGTCATTGGAGAATTTGAACCACAATGATGAGACTGAGCTGAAGTAGTATAGCCAAAATGTTACTAAAATGTGCTGACAGCAATCCCATTAATCACATCCTGGCCTCCAGAAGGATGTTGGTCCCCACTCCCAGCATTGGCCCTCACAATGCAAGCTGTGAATAATACAGTAGGTCACCCGGGATGTTCACCATTCATCAATCAGAGAGCTATATTTGAGACCCTATGCTATACATTAAAGGAGAAAAGATGAAAAGATTAAGTTGCCTGTGCCAACAACATGAGTTTAAGTATAAATTCCTACAGACAAACAAACAATCGGTTGTTAGGGATTATTCAGGAAAGAATGTACTAAAGTTGGCATGAAACAGAAGTTGCAATAGTCTTTTCTTCCCTATTGTGATGTATATTCAAGTAAAACGGCTTCTCGAACAAGAAAAAAAAAATGTAGGGTGGGACTTGATTTTGTCCACTGGATGGTTAACATGACTAAACATGTCATCAGAGAAGAGAGAATTTTAAAAAATATGTGCATGAATAAATCATTTTAATTAAATGCTGCAATATTCCATAAAAATAAGAATTGTCCATTTTTATTTCATGGCAATAATCATCAGCATTGTAGGGTTGCCGCGGTGAGGAAAATTTCCCACCGGTTAATCGTCGTGTCACAACACCGGTAATCCCGGTGTCACCGTGAGGGGCGGGGCGGGGGGGTTAAATAGCTTTTAAATGCGTGCGCGTTATACTTTCACTTTCGAAATAAGCGTCAATTGGCAATTCAGCGTCAATTGCTTGAATGGACAAAAAACAACAACTCGGCTCGCTGATAATAAAACTTTTATTTATAGACAGAACTTTTATTAGCATAACGAACGAATAAAAATAACCCCATGCATAGGCTGAAAATCGTCAAACTGTGGGCCCAAACAAATAAGAACCATAAAACGTTTATTAACGAATAAGAAAATAAAACAGGCCTAAATAAATTACACATTCCGCCATTATCTTGCTTTTCTGTAATTTGACTCGTTCTCATCTCCACACGTGCTAAATGGAATCCTGATGCTTGCTGATCTGTGACGTGACTGGCTCTTGGCACGCACTGCGCAGTTCAGTTTTTAATTATAATGTATGCTCTCTTCTGAACTAAATAATTGATAATAAATATTTTAGCAAAAACGAATACTTTAAAAAAGTCAAGACATCGCGGTGTCACGGTGGGAAAGTGATGTCACCGGTGATGGGGCTTAAAACAGGTAACACCGTCAACCGCGGCAAGCCTACAGCATTGGTCTATATGTAGGCTAAATGTGCACCCTCGCTTCCCCCATTTTACAGTGATTTATTGTGATAAATAATCAGCAGCTCCCAGTCAGCAGTGGTGAGAATTTACCAACAGTGGTCCGAGGAGGGACAAACCGGCGACAAACCCAAGGCTCTGCGATGCACAAGGGCAACAAAGGCAATCCCGTCTGGTCCGAGCCAACAGAAGGTCTACTGTGGCACAAGTCGCACAAAAATGTTTAATGATGGTTAGGGAGGAATGTGTCAAAACAGACTGCTGCAAATGTTGCTGGGTAGCTGCAGACCAACCAGAGTGTCTATGATGATGATGACCCCTGTCCACTGTCCAAAGCGCCTACAATGGGCACATGAGCGTCAGAACTGGACCTCGGAGCAGTGGAAGAAGGTCGCCTCGTCCGATGAGTCCCGTTTTCTTTTACATCATGTGGATGGCCGTGTACGTGTGCGCCGTTTACCTGGGGAAGTGATGGTACCAGGATGCACTGTGGGATGACGACAAGCCGGTGGAAGGAATGTGATGCTCTGGTCAATGTTCTGCTGGGTAACCCTGGGTCCAGCCATTCATGTGGACGAAAATTTGACACGTGCCACCAACCTAAACATTGTTGCAGAACAGGTACACCCCTTCATGACAATGGTGTTCCCTGGTGGAAATGGCCTCTTTCAGCCCCCTTCCACACTGCACACATTGTTCAGGAATGGTTTAAGGAACATGATGAAGAGTTCAAGGTGTTGCCCTGGCCTCCAAATTCCTCAGATCTCAATCTAATT